TTACAGGACGACGCCACCGTCCCAGTCAGGTGATGTAAAATTAATGGTTTGTTTCGTTCCGTTATTAATTTGTTTATTTGCAGATTTGTTTCTTGGTGCCATAATGAAATAGACTTTTGGATGTATTTTAAATGCAATACACTATATAATACGCTGATATGTAGTATCTTTTATACAGTTATTAGTTTTAATTTTGCCACACAGCTTAGTGCAAATACATAAGAGATTTTCATTGAAATAACCAATAGGTATGATTGAGATTTGCCTGTATAATTTGCATGATAAGTGTGTGTAACTGTTTTACAGTAAATTTAAGATACCCAGAATATTCTCTTAAGTATTTTTGTCCCGTTGCAAAGCACGGGCAGAACAACTAGTTCATTTCAAAATACTGTTGCATCCCTATCTTACAATGTGTAATAATGTAATAGTGACGTACCTTAGGTCCCTGTACATGCTGGTGTGGATGGGTATCCCATACTGGTCCTTGCCCACACTCTCTGTATACTGCCAGGTGCCTCCTACGTCATTGGTCTGCTCAAACACTGTGCAAGACATCCCATTGGCTAGACAATGCCTCGCCGCACACAGTCCTGCAGGACCTGCCCCCACCACTCCTACTCGCATGGCCATCTGTGTGTGAGAGTAGTATAGTCCTAGTCTTCCTGGTCTGGACGAGCTATATTCGCCGCTGCTGCCGCACGTCTGACGGTCGCGCTCGCTCCGTCACTTATATACCCTCGGTCCCAGCCAAGGCCGCGTCGCGTTTAATTTGCGTTTTATTTTACCAAGAATCGCAATTGGTAAGGTTTGATGTGCTTTTAAGGTTTTTACAATGTGTGCGGTTTATCGTGATGTGAAGAACTCAGTTTAGGTATTCTGTGTTAGGTTACCTTGGGATATAAAATGGTAGATAATTTTCAAGTTTTGCTACTAATGACGATTTTAATGGTAAACAAATCCAAAATCGAAAGTCATGATATGGATTGTATCCATAGTTGTTTACCACATTAGGAGTTAATTTATCTCCAATATGAAAATGTTAGATCCAATAAATACTTCCTGTTTTGAGGAATTCATGAATGTATTTTTTAATATATATGTTAAATGTATAATATAAAATGTACAAAAATGCCGGTTTCCCCCAATAAATAAGACACTTTCTTTAAAACATTCAAATCAAAGCATATACATCCTCAATGATATAATGCATTGGTTTAAGGAACTCCTTAATTAAGGAACTCCAGCAAAACTAGAGTATTCTTTATTGTTGTTAAGTACGGAATTTTATAAAAATACTCTGAAATATTGTATAGTTGCTATATCAGTTGCTTTCCAATGCCAATTTCAATCCATTTTCCATTATTGAGGAAACGTGTTAATATAACAATGAAATGTCGGATAGCCGGAAAACTATACAGATTACCAGTTTCTCTCTAGCAGGCCACCATTAGTCATATTCTCGATACAGTAGATGTTGTTTCCTTGTTGTTGTGACAATCATATACGTCAAGATTCACTCCTAGACTGTTTACGAAACTACCCACTTATTTAGTTCCATCATCAAATTGAATACGCCATAGGCCTATTCAATTAGCCTATTATTTCATAGCCTATTATTTGTATTCATTGCGATAACCTACAGGTCCCTAAACAAACTAATATAAATCTAATTTTTGAAACAAAATAGTGTATAAATAACTTTGTATACATGGATGATAAAAGATCTACTTTTCCTACGCTGTTTTTATTTAATTGTAGGGGCCCCAATTGCAATAATGGTTGTAATACTTGTGATTCCTCTGGTTTTAGCAATGGTTATAAATTAAGCATACCTTTAATTCGCAGATTACAATTACTATGTATAAACTATGTATTCAACTATGAATCTAACACCAACTCTCCTCAGGATAATATTTATTTATTAAAAGCTACATACAAATGTTGTTTTTAACTCTCCTAAAGTTTTTACTCTACTTACTTATCTTAGTCGTGAGCATTTACATAAGCTTTTTATCAAACCGACGAACTAGTAACTTTCCAATAAAAAGTGAGTGTTTGTGTCAAATAAGTAACAAAAATAATAACACCAGTTGAGACTTTGAAATCTTTTATTTAAATCCACTGTCAAGAAAGTTGTCGGTCAGTGTTCAGATATTATGTTTGGGTTTCTAAACCAAAAAGTTGAATCTCGAAAACGAAACTTAAAACATGCAAATTGATGCTCTTTGATGTTATATTAATTATTACAAATTAAAATGTGGGCACTACTGAGACTGTACCTGGGTATACGTATTAATCCAAATATAAATGAAAGATGGATGTAGGATGAATAATTAGAGAAGGCTGTGGTAAGGTGTTAGTAGTGAAGTATTGTTACTGGCCAAGATCAACTGTTTCTTTATCCAGGTCCATTCAATAAAAGCCCAATGATCACTACAGCTGGGTCATGTTTCGAACCATCAAAATATTAGGCCATGCTAGGTGAATAATTAAAACTTTGTATTGAATATAACAGATGTTATACTTTCTTTAGGGCTCAATATTTCAATATGTTTAGGACTACTGCACATCTAAAATTTCATTAACAAACCCCCCTGGAGAGATGTGGCCTTACATTTATTATGTTTTCTAATTATTGTTATTGTTGTCAAAAATTTCCTATCACTTCACACGCAAATTTACCGAATAGCAAATATAATTTGCGTCATATGATTCACTGGCCTCACAACGTGTGTTAAAAATAAACCAAGATAAATAATCATCATAGATAACAAAAATTTACATCACAAAGTGACGTAATTTTTTCACGATGCACTTTTATCTCCTTACATAACATTCATAAATAAATATTTTGATAAAAATCCACTTCCGTGATGTATATTATATAATTACGGCCTTAAGCAAGTAAGTTGGGACAATCAATAGATATTGATAAACTGGTTTAAAAAATATCATACTACTAAATTCTATGCATCTTGTAAACATCTTTTCTACCACTTATTTATACAGTGACCTGGGTGGGTAGCCAAATGGTTATTATAGTGCTCGCCTTACGATCAAGGTCGCCGGATCGGTCCTGAGAAAAATCAGAAGCGTTTGGATGGTTCGAAACTGGGTCCAGCTGTTTCGGATCATTGGAGCTTTGGCTAATAAAACTGCTTATCTTTTAGTCAGTCAAAAAGCCACACATATAATTTCACTACACTGCATTCTACACTTATCCTTGACTCAATTTTTTTTTTAATACGCACCTAGGTTGAAATGATTTGATTTGAGGTGCCGTCCCCATCTGAATTTATAATTATAATAATGATCGCACATTCGGTGGCCAGTTTTCTAATTCGATGCACTGATTGCAATTTTGTATCTTTATAGTTTTACATTTTTTTTTTAGCAGAAACAAAGTTCAAAAACGTGCGGATTCTCTCAAGGCTATACGCATAGAACTTTAAATTGTTTGGAATGTCTATTGCCAGATAAGTGTTAAAGGCTTTGATATTTGATACGTCCAAATATTTTCCAGTAAGTGATTGAAATCTTTGTCTGATTTAAAAATTTGGCTTCCTGATGTTCCCTATAGCTTTTAATAACATAATGCAGACAGAATTCACTATTGCCTCAAGCGACAAAAATCCATTCCAGTTTACAGTAAACACGTCATACATGATTGTAGCCTATAAATGGGTTATGCTAAATACTACTTTGTCTCTAAACTGCGTTATTCCAAGTGTATGAAGTCAGTGTCTCAAATTAATGGCCTTAAAAGCTGATCTTTAATCACAATCAGGCCATGCCGGTGTCAGCTGATATGACATGCCAGTAATTTCTATAGGTCAACAGATTATTGATAGAACAATAAACTAGAAAAGTTTGTTCGCTGATAACCCTAAGAACTACTTCAGACTGGTCTAGCTCTGGCTACTCTGTAATTAATACGTGGCTACTCTGTTGATTGTCGTCTCAATGATTGTCTCTATTATTGTTAAGGATGTGGTTTTGGTAATAGCCATTACTGGTACTTAACATTCGAGCGCTACACATTTCATATTATTTTTTTACGCATACGTACCGGTGCTAGAAGCAAACCTTAAGATTAGAAAAAAATCAACATTACTTTACGACAGAAGTATGTAAAAGAGATTATCGTATTACTGTAGCCTAAAAGAGTACTGAACTGATATTCATTCAGTAAACCATATCATTGAAACAATTTTACTACTTATTAAAACTATCAATATTGATAGTTTTATAAGAAACGTGGTTGATTAAGGGTTCCCAGAGAGTATAAAATTCCACTTATAAATATAAAAAATATCATCAAACACCGAACTCGAATCATCAAAAAGTTATAGGTGGCATATGAGAACCTGCAACTTTCTGATCACCATGAGAGCGCTATTATCATTCAGCTACCCAGTCACTCAGACCCTAGGCATGACGTGGAGACAAATCAATCTTATTATACCATTTTCTCAAACTGGGTATGAAACTTTATTAACTTTTTCCCTCAGTAACAACAATCCGAATCAAGCCATTTTTTCTTTTTAAGTGTATTGAGGCCGTGGATCAACCAAACCGATACAATACAATTAACCCAGCGACCAGAAAGCATCTAACCATCACCAACGAAACTGCGACTGACCTCAATATCAAAAGATATAACAAATTAAAACCACTAAAATTAAAAAGACGAGAACAGAAAACACACAATCAATCTCATTCAAACAAAATCGACATAACATTGATCTGTGGGATTTTGACCGAGTCGGCCCTCTGGGACTAAAATTAAAAACATTTAATTATGTAGCTGCATGGTTAAATTACCGAACCAATTCTTCAAAGCAATTCGTCAAAGAATCGGAACGGGACGGAATCGGACTCACACAGACTCACTTGATCGCAGGTAGGTTGGATTCAGGATTGGAACTGGATTGGAAGGAATGAAAACTGATTTGAATGGATTGGATTGGATTGGTTGTAGGTTGTAGGTTATGAAGACAACAACAAAACAATCGTTTGTAAACGTAAACATTCTTCAATCTTCATTTTATTATTATTAACGAATATTCAAGTAATAAATTTTTCATTTATAGTTATTCAATATGTCTGATGACGAAGTGGAAGCCTTCGACATTACAGATGAAGATCTTAACCGGGCTTTTAACCCTGGTGCAAGAAGATTTCGAGGAGGCAATTCAAAGAATCAACAAATTTATGGTAAGTAAAACATTACTTGGTACTTTTAGGCTTACATTACAAAACGATTAGTGAAGAGTTTTCGTTGAGATAATGTTATGAACAACCAAACAACTTAATTGAATAAATGGCTAGGCAGTAAAGGATTAACAGCCACTAGCCTAGGTCAACCATTGATGTTTCAGGGGTAATTGGGTCTTTTTCAGTTTTTCTATCTGCTCTCTGTGCTCCCTCAGCTAATTAACAGCTTACTCTACTAGTATTGATTAGGCTAACTGAAACATACTCCCTTGCGTTGGTTAGTCTAGGCCTATGCTGAGACGTTCTAGATTGGCAGTTTCTCTTTCACATTTGCAAGACGAAATATTTATATTATGCTAGAGGGCAGGAGTACTGCTGCGAAAATTTATTACAAATAGAAATTGATTTACAGGGGTAGCATTTTAGTTTAAAACAAGTCAGCCATAGCGGGCCTGCGGTGCGGGGGGCCCGTGAGCCTTGACCGGGATTTTTGGGAAATTTTACTGGGACATGGGCCCGTAATTGTGCAACAGGCTCAGCCACATAGGCCCCCTATCATAACAATATTTATATGACAATTACCTTACTTTTTTATGACAAAAATTTGTTAAAACCAGTAAGAGCACTAGGACAAGTAGTTTACGACAGCTAAACTGATACTATTACTTGACCAATCGATAAAAGTTCTCTACCAACCTAAGTAAAAGAGTTGTCATCAGTCATGCAGGTTGCTTCAACTGTCCTCGTGGACTGTGTGAAGGCCGTAATAGGGCCATATTTAGAACCAATGTGGCCCCCGGCCTAGGAGGACAAAACAATAATGTTAATGTTAATCCTCCTAGCCCCCGGCGGGTCACACCAGGGAGGGCCCTCTATACTGATTTCACTAAATGAACTTGACATCTTTTTACGATCAAATCGGCGAATTAACTTAACCTAGGTGGCTAGGACACTAGATAACAAATAATTCCATTCTTTCATGGATGCTTAAGAAGTATTTTAATTTCATTTCATTTCTTACTAATAGGTGGCTGCACTTTAGATTTGTTTACTTCGAGTCAGGTTTAAATAATGTTAGGCTACTTACCTATGCTTTTGCTTTGGAAACCGTTGATTTTTATATAATGTAGATTTTCAAGCCGAGCAGAGCCTAGCCTAGCTTGAGAGATCAAGCACAAAGTCAGAAAATCAAGCGCGAGCCAATTTTCTCAGTACTCAATACAATAATGCCCAATTAAAAGTATAAGCTTTTATGTCCGCGAGGATCACGCTCACAAAATTGTAAGATTAGGCATAACTTACGCTTTTGCTGTGATCACGGTATCGACGTGAAAATTTCCCCCTGGGTGACTATGACGATATCTTCGTGGCCGCAGGAGATGTTCAATGTTTTGTCGCAGTTGCGGAAGACGATAATAACGTTTCTTTGTCCGCGGGAGACATATCTAGGATTTTGCCGCAGTTGCGGAAAAAATTATTTCTCCATTACCACAGGTTGCGGGAGATAGCTTATTAGCGATTGCGCCAAGAATACGGGAGACGATATTGTTGTTATCTCTGATTATGTCATAGGTTTGGTTGCAATCACGGTAGACTATGATAATGTTTCTTCCATGAATACAGGGAGTATTTCATGATTTTGCCACGATCATGGAAGACGATGAAAATGCCTCGGTGCCTCGGGAGATGCCGTGCCAAGCTAAATTGCAAGTTTAGGCTGTAACTCATGTAATAATGTTGAAATGTTTTTAAAGATTATTCGGAGAGGGGGGCCCGGTGAACAAACTTGCAGGGTGGGGGGGCCGGGCTCTTATAACCGCCACTAAAACAAGCACCTCACAATAAAAGTAGTTGGCTATCTCACTCACTCTACGCTTTCCTAAGTGCAGCCCAGTTCACAAAATATGTGGATTCAATATTTCATCAGGACCTTTCATTAACATAAAAATACAAAAATGTAATTTAAATTTTCATAAAATCTAATCCCTACAATTTAGTTATGGAAAACATCGATGTCTAAATAACTTACTTGGCCAAAAACATCGATGTAACAAAAACATTTAGTAACCTACCATTGAACGTCGATAGATAAACATCGATGTTTCGAAAATATTGACTATCGATGCTCATCCCTACACTAGGTCCAACACAAGACCCATGGAAACAGTGCTAGTTGCATAATACAACAATATCAGCAGGCTAGTTTTGCAAATTCCCTAACTGATTAGGCTATCAACACTCTGAACAGAGTCGTATTGTTAGATTTTGAGACGCTTAAGAGTGAAACTCAAATGAGGTTAGCCAATAACTCTTTCCTTTTCCTTCCTCTATCTTTCGTTCCTCTATCTTTTACTAGCAAACATAGTTTTTTAACACCAGTCCTCCGGAATAAATATGATTGTTACATAAGTTAGGCCTAAGCTATTTATGACACAGCCAAAAAATGGTTATTAGGGTTAGACTTCTGGAGATAGACTGTGTTAAAGACATAGACAGACATGGATAGTGTTAATGATCTAAATGGAGATGGTATCAGGTGATGTCTTTTAGCCGATGTTGTTTATTGAAAATCGTATTATATAGTAACTTAGGACCTACAGTTACTTGGTGGCGTGATGTAGCCTACTTGGAAACCAGACCAAAAAATTAATACAACTAATATTCAACTTATCACTACCAACTTTTTTTGTTTTTGCATTATTTTTAACCAAATTGTAAAAAAAAACATTTGCAAAAAAACAGCAAATTTAGAAAGTCTTGTTTATAATGCCCTATGGTTATGAGATGTAGGGTACAGGCCTACCGTAGGTAGTCTTTAACTTTAGCTGCTTTGAAATGTTTTTATTTAAAGTAACTTAGGCTACCGGTACATTATCTTTTACTGTTCTCAACATCTTATATATAAGTTAGTTCTTTATTTATGTTTCTGCTTAAATTTGATTTTTTAGGAATGTGGGCAGATGATAGTGGGGATGAAGGCCCCAGCCAACGAGCAGGATTTAGCAAATCTAAAAAGCCAAAGAATTACAGTGCGCCAGTTAATTTTGTTGCTGGTGGCGTACATCAAGCAGGCAAGAAGAAAGAGAAGGAAATTGAAAACAAAACAGAAGAAAATGATGATGAACCTGAACGGAGAGTGGTCGATTCCAGTGAATCGAGGTAAGACTGTAAACAACTTTCAGTCTAAAATGGATTACTTTTCATCCAAGAGATGCTATATATCTACTAAGTCTTTTACCAGTCGACCAATGCAAAATCACATGTTGATCTGGCTAGTTTTTTAATTGGCTATCCTTTTAGCCTTGCAGCCCGTGAATATTCATGTTAACATTCTGTTTTGTTAAAATATAGTTTTTGTTTTGTTTGGTTGTACTTGAGTCTTCTATAAAAAAATAGTATGGTGTAGTTAGCTTCTATATCACTAAATTTAATCTCAATGGTTCAGTTCCAAAACTTTAGTAGTGTACTACTAAAAATAGGATCACTCGACAAAGCAAGGTCCCCAAAAATAGTATCCTAATTCTAATATAACCTCTTTGTATGATTAGAGTTTATTTGTGGCTGAACTCAGTTATATGGACTGTGCGCAATGCATTCAGAATATCAGTGATTGGAATAGAATAGAGTAGCTCATATTTGAGAATGTCAACTCTTTTTCCATGTTGAATATTGCAGAATTCGTACCCACAGACTGTTAAAAAGTGTTTTAAAGTCACTGTACTTAATAGGAGTTAATAGGCGAATGTAGAAGAGGATAATTTATGACAGCTGGGTTGATGACATTGAGTTAATGTTAGCAATATTTTGTACCTAGACATCACATTGTACAAAATTAATCGATACAAAATAATGTTACAGTGAAGAAGATGAACCAAGAGCTTCTTTCAGTAACCTGTCAATGAATATCGAAGGAGAAATAGCAGGCTTGCGGAGACAAAAGACTCAGTTCAACCCTGTTCTCGCCAATAAAGGAGTTGGCAAATGGGAACAACATACAAAAGGCATTGGGGCAAAACTGTTGCTTCAGGTAAGGGTTAAAATATCTGCACATTAAAACTTTAATATAGGCCTACAACCTATTGCATAATGTAAAATGTCCCAGTGCCTATTAAAAACTGCCAAGAATTATACTGTTTACATTTTATCGGGGTAATTTCTTAAAACTGGATAAATCTCCTGGGTTAAAACATGAAAACTAATAAAAATAGCCAATGGATTTACTCGTACTATGACAAAAATTGTGTTGTTAGGCTGCACCATAAATCTATATGTTTTTTTATAAATAATGCTAATGATGCAAAAACCTTCAGCCAAGCCTTGAGCTTTTTACTGACTTAACTTTGTCTGAGTTATCATTCCTGAGCCAGCTTGTAAAATGCTGTTCAAGATGTTTTTCCCCTATCCAGACTTAGTTAGGCCAAATTAACAGCAAGGATCAAAATTCCACTTGTAAGGTTGTATTAGGCTATCCGTCTTGCTGTAAGTTTTTGTAAATGTGTCATTAGATTAAATTGTGTCTTTAACACGTTCGCTACTCGCCGCGGTCATTGCCACAGACCGAGGTATACATTTGAATCTTACAGATGGACCGGCTGTCACTTGGATAACAGTACACACAGACCACGGGCGAAAACCTGTAAAACAGTGATCATTTACATTGTAATACGCTATAATCGTGTTTGTAAATAAATTATTCTTGTTTTTATGTATTTTTTATAACCTTTTGTAATGTCGCATATTTGCGACGCCCGGTCTACAGCGAAGACAATAGTGAAAATCTATATAATTAATACGCTACACGAAAGTTTGTCAGTTGAACTCCTCCGCCATTTCCTAACCGATTTTATCCATTGACGTCTCATTGGAAAGAGCGTGTCGCGTAGATTTGCAAACTGACCTTACATTTTTGAAAAAAGTCCCTTGGGCTCTGCCCCATAGTGGCTTTGAAAGTTCCCATGTTATCCTTATGAAGAGCATAATTGTTTACATTTTGATCAGCTGTATAGTTTTATTGCTGTTATTTACTTTTCAATTCAATGAAACACATTGAGTACATTTATTTACTTTTTGAGTTTGTGTAAACATAACCCTTAAGACGGATCGTGTTAGTATGGTTGTATCTTAAATTTGTGTATTTATCGTTGTTTTGTGTCGCTATGATGGATTGTGTTAGCATGATTGTAACTTAAGTTTGTGCATTTATCGTTATTTTGTGTAGCTATAATTTGTTTATTATTTGTTGTTTATTTCTTTTAAATGTCTCCGACGCAACGACAACGAAACATAGACAGGAGGCGCAATCGTGATAACGACCGCAGCTACAGAACAGTGGCGCGTAATAGGCTTAACTCATCACAGTCTGAACCTGAACCTGGACAACTTCAACTATTTGGTTAAAAATGCGCACTAACACTACCCCAAAACGACTTTTCGTTCTCAACTCAATTGGCCCTCTATTAATGACCTGTGTTGCCTGTACAGCGAGGCATTTTGAGAAGGAGAGAACCGTCCGGAATGCTTTAGGTTTATCAATAACGAAGATAAACAGGGTCTGAGTTACACACGGTAGTATTTGAGTTGACTCTTTTAAACTCATTGTAAATATGACTTTTATTCAATCTGAAATAACTCCTGTAATACTTTGTAATTGCTCGAATTCGAGCAACATGTACACTAGTTATCATAGTTTTCTTGAAATAGACTAAACGTCGCATATATGCAACAGTTCATTTTATTGTGTTTTAAGGTGAAAGTAAGTAAAAAAATAAACAGATTATTCAAGAACAGTTATAACTGAACAAATATAAAAGCTACATAGGATAATGCAGCATACATACTGCATACATACACACAGTGATGCAGAAAAGTAAAGACCGGGTTTTCCAACTATTATATGACGTCACCAATCATCATATCCACAGACCAAGCGACGCAGTTGTGCGTCAGACATCTCTGTAGACCACTGCCGGGAATTCAGTGCCTTTAAATAGACCACTACAAAGATGTAAGCATTTTAATAACATTAGAACTCCGACGCAAATATGCGTCGGCACTCTATTTTAATGTGACTAGCCGTCGCATATATGCGACGGCAGTCTATGGGTGGGAACCGGCCGTCGCATATGTGCGTCCGCTGGTCCACGTGAATGGAAAATTTCGTACTATTGCAGTAGCGAACGTGTTAAATTATATTTGTTTTCATGTTAAGTTAACTCTGATAAAACCCATTGTTGTTTGGTTACAGATGGGTTACCAACCTGGAAAAGGATTGGGGAAGGACTTACAGGGTATTCAGGCTCCTATTGAAGCTAGTTTGAGAAAAGGAAGAGGTGCAATTGGTAAGTTTCAGGGAATGAACTGTAGTAAATATCAAATAATAATTTTGCTAACACGTTTAATATCAATAACCATAACAATTGGACTAATCTAAGAACTTATTTTCATCTGTTCACACTATCAACAACTAGTTATTTTAATTAAGTACAATCATGTGGTTCATTTACAAATATTAAGTTACAATCGGCAAAGCGAATTATATTAATTTACTTGTCGTATTTGTATAATCTCAAATTATATTTGTTTAAAATTTAATGGATTTGGAATCATCCCAATAATTTGTGCTGCAGGTGCTTATGGCCCTGAAAAAGGCCAAAAGATTGCTGACTTGGACGGTGAAAAGAAGAAGAAAGAAAAGGAGACTGTTATAAGTGATAAAGTCTCACAATGGCGTAAAGAGGACGGCTCGAGTAAGAAACAGAAAGTACAATATGTGTACAAAAGTATAGAAGACGTATTGGAGGAGAGCAAGCAACCAGGGAGAAAGAAGAAAAGGGAATTCAAGTAAGTAGTTGTTGTATTAGAAATGGTGCTTGATTTTCATAACATAAGTCTGCTCAGAAAATAAACATATCTAGCTTATTAATTATTGAGAGTATTGTTGTTTTAGTTAGTTGTCAATGCATTGTGTCTACAGTTTCAATATGACTATTACAAATAATCTTCCAGGACGGAATTCAACTTTTATCACCACATACTATAAATAAGTGGGTTTTTTGTTGATAATTATTCATGAAAATTTTTTTAAGATGCCTTTAGGCCTGATTTTAAGGATTTTGCGGTGAATAGGCTTAACAACAGAGTTACCTTACTGATGAAAACAGAGATTTAAATATGACAATATTTAGGGTAGAGAGACAAAATTAGATTTTAAAATCGGGACTTGGGGAAATAATACGTAACAGTCGTCTCACCTGAAATTATTCACACCTTAAAATCTGTCCAGATAGCTTTACCTTACATTACAATGAGATTGTCCAGGATTCTAACGTGTTCGTTAATTAATTATCGTTTCAAGTTTATTGACTCAAAATAATAATTACAACAATGCCAACAATGTTTAGCTTACCTTTAACTAGTGCTCATCATAGCCACTCGAAAAATATGTGAAGCTAAATTTAGAATTCTGAATAATTGATTGTGATCGTGAATATACCTTAATTAATGAATCTTTCGTTGTACGACTTGGTTAACACCAAAGTAAACGTTTTGGGAAATTAAACTCGGTCGAACACCAGATTCGATATGACGTTTCTTAGATTAACTTGATGTGAGCCTGTTCGGGGTAATTGAATAAATTCTACCTAGGGCCTATATTGTTCAAGCAACTTAAATGATTTCCGAAAAAGGAGTCAAAAGGATATGTGCTCGTGCATGAAAAAGCATGTGGGGCGCACTTTTAGCATCCTCCCCTCTACGATGACGTCAAACCTTTGCTCGTCCTGCTCCATCGATGCCGTTTTCAATGCAGGCCCGAACGTAGAAAGTTATACCCTAATAGCTTTTAATAAAACTTAAAAAAACTGATTTTTATCCCTCTGGGGATTCCGGGTTGTTACAAAAACTAGATCCTATATTTAATAAGGAGCTGGTAACTTTAAACATTCTATACTTATGAGTTTATTTGTGTATTTTCATCTATTTTCTAGTCAGTTAGGTAAGCCTTAAACCTTCACAAAATCCTCAACACAAACTATCGTTTGACAATGTGAGGGAACAATTCCTTCCTTTGAAAGCATTTGTAACCTTCAAAAATTCCTGTGAATAGATGGGATTGAATCTGTCAGTCGAACATTACATTTTCTGATGCTAATCTTTCGGCCAGTAAAACTCAAATGGTTAAGTTTTAGGTATAATAAGTTTGTTTGTGACAGTGAACTGAGCAAAGTGAAGGTGATAGACATGACGGGGCCTGAGCAGAGAGTGTTGTCCGGGTACCACGCCATCTCTAGCGTACAGCGGCCCTCCGAGCAGTGGGAGATACGCAAGGATAAGAAGTTCACTAACTTTGAACTGCCTGAACTGCAGCACAACCTGAACCTGCTGGTGGAAATGTGCGAGGAGGTTAGTTTTTGGCCAATAATCAACCTCAAACTGATTAATTTCTATAAAGTTTTCTGAAATAAGTCTTTTTCATAATGAAAAGAAAAAGGTTTCAAATAATGTACTAAACATGGGCTTTTAAACAATTATTTTCAATTAATCTTACAATATCTGTTTGATGCAACTAATTTTAAACTCTCGGGTCTTTTAGACATTTCAATACCTACCTGGGCCTATTAAGAAATTATCGGGAAGTAAAGCCTCCTATTATGGCACATTCTCACGATGCATAATCTTATATCAGACAGACAAAGATTGCAAAACGGCAGATAGCAAAGTTTTGAAACTTTGCAGTTTGCACACATATTTCTAAGTACCTAGGGAAAATTATACCAAACGTCTCCATACATACGAGACGAGCTCTGGTGTCAATTAGTGAAAACAGCGCTCATTTTTTTATTTTTGGCTTAAATCTCGAGAACCATTTGTCAGAGCTTAAAGTGACTGTATACTAAATGAAAGTTTATTAAATTTCCAACAAAAATGATGCTTACACTTTTATTTTATTCCTAATGCTTACCGAGTTATATGGTGTTAAAATATGGTATTTTTTCTCAAACTGTCTGTACTTTAGTATGCACCATTGTTCGCACCCCAACAGTTTGAGAAAAAAACGTCATAATTAAAGCCCTACAACTCAGTAACCATTAGGAATAAAATAAAAGTGTAAATGTCATTATTGTTGAAAATATAATGATCTTTCATTTAATATACAGCCACTCTTCCATTGATATATATCAGAACATTGGTTCCTATAAATAAGTATGCAAAGATTCAAAACTTATAAATTTTTTTGGAGGTTAAACTTTTTTGACTGGACTAAGATGAGTTGAGCAACTGTCAGATTGTGCTGATGTTAAATACTATTATCTGTCCAACATGGAAACTTTTTAACAAATCCAAATTAATAGGACAACTTATTGTAAGCTATTGCATCATGTTATGTCCCATTAACTACAGTATGCCTACCTCATTTACAAAGAATAACATTGAAAACATACTTTTAGACCCTAGCATACCGTGAGAGTTCTTTTTAAGTAAAAAATTAGCTACAGCTGGTGCATAGATATGTCTACTTGAGAATGCCTACAAAAAGCACTATTTTTTGCAATCAGCTTTAGTTATAAATTACAGCTATCACGCAAACACTCAGATGCTCTATGGGGTCTTATATGTTGCATGTCACCTCAAACCAGTTCAAAAACCTTCGACTGCTATCAGTACCTGTTTTAAACATAACTGTTCAACTTGTTTGTTACAGGCTATAGTATCCAATGACAGGAAGCTGCAGTATGCTGAGAACCGTTGTGTAGCTCTGGAGGCGGAGGTGGAAACACTGACCAAACAGGAAAAGGAGGAGGCAAACACGATAGAGGTGTTGGACAAGGTTATGGCTGTTGTACAGAGGCTAGTGTCCGGGGCGGAAGACAACTCTATAACACTACAGGAGGCGTCACTGGCCTTCCGGGAACTGCAGGTTGGATTTTGTCCCGGAATATCCTGGATTTATTTTTTACTAACCTTTAAGGCAGGATTTGTGTATCGCCCACCTGATCCTGCTATGGTAGTTTTCATGCAAATTACACCAAACTGTCCCTCTTTTTGCCTTTTGCTGTTTGGAAATTGTTGATACTAGCATTGAGTATAGACCTAACCTAGAGAGCCCACCGCTATACTGTTAGTCGGTACCGCTTTTGACAACGTAGTTCGGGCCGCTGACGCTTGGGTCGTGGTGGTCAATGGTAATGCAGTACGCCGCTGAGCTCAGTCTGCGTTGAGACACGCTGCGTTAAGGTAGTCTGCACCGCGCTCGCGCGTCAGTCTCTCCCCCCTACTCATCGTCACTTCCCACAGCAACCGGCCTCTCCCTCACCGGTCGAGCTGTTTCTACAAAGCGAATGCAATGAACACGAACGGGCAACGGCAACAACTGCCTCTAACACATATAACATAATTTTATCCATACATGACGCAATTAAAAAGTTATTTGTCAATATTGTAATGCTACAATTAATTGTAGGCTATACAGGAATCCCAATTTTATTTATTTTTTCTGTATATGATTCACTTACTTGATTCACTTACTGTCTATCATGATTTTAAACTCACATCAAATTACAAAGGTTTGTAAAAAAACCTTTCTTTTTACGTACAATACTGATCAACTGTATAGCAAACCATTTTTATCGTTTAACCGATAGTTTATTATATTGATATTACAACTAAGTTTGTTTTATTTCTGTTGTGGGTTTACATAATATATAATACTAGCTGACCCGGCGAACTTCGTATCGCCTAAGTTATAGGTTTCCCCTAAGACAGACCGATGGAAAGAAAGTACCGTTACGTTTAATTTTCAAGATGATCTCGTTCGCATCGCTCAATCACGTCCTGGTTGAAGTTTGTTCGCTACGCTCACTCACCTTTAGGTTGGAGCTCGTTCGCTGCGCTCACTTGCCTTCAGGTTAGCTCGTTCGCTACGCTCACTCGCCTCCAAGTTGAAGTTCGTTCGCTACGCTCACTCACCTTTTGGTTGCAAATTAGCTGTTGTCATAAATGTAAAAGAAATAATAGTGCTGCATCCTGTTGGTAATCCTTGTAACTTTAATGCTAAAGAACATCATAGAACAGAACCAACTTGTTTAATTGATACAGCTGTTAAGATTCATTAATTCCATTTCTCATAAGGTTAACATGGGAAACTCCAGAGCCACTGGGGCGGAGCCCTTTTAAGAATTTCGAAACGGGAAATAGTTTACGTCCGATTCGCATACCTACAGAATTTACACACCAAATTTCATAACGATCGGTGAAGTCGTTCCGGAGGAGTTTGCAGACAAACACTGTGACACGAGAATTTTATATATTAGATAATACATAATATTATTCTCTGCATAAATTTAAAACTAAGAACACGTACGATAATGCATATGCACTGATTATTTAACAAAATTCTATAACATAAATCCTAAATTTCTTTATTCTTAAAGTTTTAACTGAAAATATTTACCAGAATTTTAATATGGTAAGTGTTATAAAATTATTTCAGTGTTTATTTTTACGCCTTATTATTTGTCTGGTACCATCGGTTAAGTCGTACACCCCTGATTCCCAAACCACTGTAGACTACATATTCTTCCTCGGTGACATAACACGCGCTACTTTCACTTTATTCTACGAGAGAAGAACGTTTCAAAAATATGCATAGTTATGATTCGGCTTTACACTAGGCCTACAAGAGTACAAGTAAAAGAGTATGTACAGGCAGTTTAATCCTGTTGTTGAAGTTTCTGGTGGAGGTGGAGACGACGTCGTCGATGTGTCCATTGTGTCTTGGAGGGATGCTGCTGGCGTTGGTGTGGACGACACGGGTGCTGAGGCATCGCTGGTATTCCTATCGCCACTTAACGTCGGAATCGCGTGTTTTTCCAGGCGTGTTCTCATGTCACTAGTGAAACACGAACGTTCGAAGTGACGATCGCACACTGTTCGGCGTCTTAACAGAGATTCCGGTAACTCAGACAAACTCTCATTTCCGCAGTTTAAAATCCATTGACTGCACACTTCCGGATTACCTACTGGAAACTTAAAAAATACTCGGTCTGGGTTGTCTCTTTTAGTAGCATTGCATCTAGAAAAAAAACACTTATCACCCTGTTTTTTTTGCGAGGTCATTGTAGAAAATCTTACAGACCGTTATACAAATTTCATTTTCGATAACAAATAGTACTACTCAGGAAGTCACTAATAACGGGTACTAACTTAAAGAGCTAATAAATAAATAATAACGTTCACCTATATCACAGTTAACGTATACACTGATTAAAGACAACGACTGTTCTCAATGCCACTTCTCAAAATACTGACTAGTTGACTAGTTCCTAGTTTGGAGGGAGGGCTTAGGGTTATAAAAGGCGCACCCATAGGCAGGAAAACCATTTTATGACACAAAAACCATCCAAGAGGGTATGTTAAGTTGTCAAGTAGTGCCACACTGCCTCGACCTGTGACGTTTGGAGAAAGTGTAGCCTAAGTATTAAGTGTGTTTCAAAAAGTAGCACGGTTGGAATCCTTAATGTTGGAAAAATGTCATTGGTCCATACACATTTTAAATTAGTAGTTTAAAAAAAACATACATGTGTATGAACAGTATAAAGGCAAATTTACGACATGGATTAAATACACTGTTGGTTAGTTATTATTGAGGGGTATTTTTTTATTATGCCTACGTTTGTTGATTCTATTTTACATGACATTGACAATAAATATTTTCAGTAAATTAATACATTGTCGTCAATTATAGTAAAAGGGTAAAAGAGTAAAGTTAGGATATTGTAACTATCTGAATTTGTTTCTAAGCAGAATACAGATATTCGAATTTGAAATGACACATGAAAAGTGTGAAAGCTTTATTTGAACCTTGAAACATGGCGGAAATAAATAATTTCATAACATATATCAATCAAATAGAAAAATTAACTATATATTATATTTTAATTGGTTTGATTCGCTAACTCAAAGGGAAATGTTCAAAATGTTCAAAATGTTCATGTATTTTCAAAAAGGTTTATTATGGAATTTTACAGCAATAGCATGCTTACAGACTTTCTCAGAGGCGTAAATAAGTAATGTCCAATCTTACAACATAGGTACATTCGTGTAAAGTGTAAAAATCATACGCATTATAAAATAAATTACTCTATACGAGTAGTTTAGAATAAAATGTTTACCCTCATATATAGAAGTAATTTTTTAAACCATATTGGTTTCGCAAGGAGCACGCTTGAATTATTAGCAAAGCCGACAGCGAGCCCGCAGCAGCGGGATGAGTTGCGTCATTGTTGCGTCTTGCATGGTTACCGGTAGAGCGCACTAGCAACTTGATGTACTGCATTACCGAGCCTGGCGCTGCACGGGTAATGCTATGCCCCATTGAGTGTAGACTCTAGGTTAGGTCTATACTCAATGATACTAGTCATGGTCAAATTCATGATTTCATCATCAAAATATAATTTTAAAATACCTTTGGGCTACCAACTGAAATTTTAAGTCCATATTCACAGTTAAATTGTTCTCAAAATCTCTAATTGAGTAAACTGTCCATAGTATCACCTTTATGTTACAAAACAAAAAATCTGCTTCTGTCACACTTATTGCAATCGCAAAACAGCTGTAAATGATTGAGTAACTTATGGACAATGTATACAGTGTATACAATATATTAGCTCAAAATACTTCACTGATTCATTGTCGGATTTCACCACCTAACAGTTTGTGTCATGACAAGCGGGGGTTTTCAAACTGTAGCAGTGTCTTTTTAAAGGTGATGAGGAATGGCTTGTCAAACCGTTGTGAACAGACAAAAAAGTTTTCCAAACTGATTCCTAAATCCATACTCAGTAACAACTTATCTGAGGAGTGTCATAGTGTTGTAGGTAGATTTCAAGTAAAAGTTAAATCATGTGTTGTACTTTGACAGGAGAAGTACTACATGGAGTACTGCATATATGAGGTGTCGTCGCTGGCAGACACTGTGGTCAGGCCTCTGTTCAAGGACTACCTGTCAGCCTGGTCACCACTACAGGACCCAGCCCAGCCTGTGGAGGTGTTCAGACAATGGCGGAGTATCCTTGAGCAGGATCAGACTCTGACAGTCTCGTCTACACAGGATCCGTACCACAAACTGCTGTGGGACACTTGGATACCATGTGTCCGCATTGCTGTCAGGTGAGGATAGCAAGGCATATGAAACGCAGAACATTACACTATACACAGAAATTAGAATATTTGCCAGTCTTTGACAGCATTTTCAACCAGAGAAGGTTTGAGTTAGAGCTCTGACCTACACCTTTCTTAATTCAGTAGGAAGAGCAACCTTCACATTGGGTCACCCATAAATATACACACAAAATATTTAAACATTTCATGGTTACTGCCCACTTTTGTTAATTACAAAAGAGAAAGATTTTCAGTAATAAGGAAATTTATTCTAATCATTGTCCTACCATTTCTTATAAAATGTGATAATGAATTACCATGAGAGCACTCTAGTTTTTGCCAATATTCTGTTTAACTGATGGCCTTTAAAATGAGGTGTTACTTGAGGGGGTTTACATTTAAAATGTTGAGCTGCCCTCACAATACCCCATTTTGGGGTTTGGGGCAAAGTTGGTACGGTATAGCAACCAAAAAGTGTACTTTAATGTTTTATGCCATAGAGGTGTGCAGAGTTTGGTTTTCTTGGTGTAACCCATTAAAATAGTTAATAGGGGGTTCAATCAGGGATGGCACCCATCCCAATTCTGTCTTGACAGTCCCGATTTTGGTTCCTTATGCCCATATATAAGCCTATGTTAATCCATGGGGAAGGGGGGCATTTCAAAATGTTTCCCTAACCAAAGGTGGCAACCCTAGTGTCAATACTTTTGTCCGACTCTGTGTATCTCCACAAGATGGATGTACAGTATAAAATACAGTAAGGTGTTGCGTAATCTATCGCTATCATTCATATGGTTTACCCTATACCAATCCAACCACAGTGTGATATATTTTGCTAATTCTGAAGTTAATTTTGTGTTTATCGTGACAGTGCTTGGCAGCCGAGAAAATTTGAGACGATGGTGGAGTTTGTTGAGACGTGGAAGCCGTTGGTGCCGTCGTGGACCATGGACAATGTGCTCCAACAGCTGATCTTACCTAGGCTACATCAGGAGGTGGAGGAGTGGAACCCTCTCACAGACACAATACCAATACATACCTGGATACACCCTTGGCTACCTCTGCTGGGTAGGCATGACAATCCTAGAGTATAATACTGTAGTGCTATTGGACAATGTGCTCCAACAGCTGATCTTACCTAGGCTACATCAGGAGGTGGAGGAGTGGAACCCTCTCACAGACACAATACCAATACATACCTGGATACACCCTTGGCTACCTCTGCTGGGTAGGCATGACAATCCTAGAGTATAATACTGTAGTGCTATTGGACCAAGGACAATGTGCTCCAACAGCTGATCTTACCTAGGCTACATCAGGAGGTGGAGGAGTGGAACCCTCTCACAGACACAATACCAATACATACCTGGATACACCCTTGGCTACCTCTGCTGGGTAGGGATGACAATCCTAGAGTATAATACTGTAGTGCTATTTGACCATGGACAATGTGCTCCAACAGCTGATCTTACCTAGGCTACATCAGGAGGTGGAGGAGTGGAACCCTCTCACAGACACAATACCAATACATACCTGGATACACCCTTGGCTACCTCTGCTGGGTAGGCATGACAATCCTAGAGTATAATACTGTAGTGCCAGAATTAATCATATTTCATGTCCTAGGCTCAATTCAATGAGTTTTGGAAACTGTAGTGGACTGGCAAAAATGTAAGGAGATCTTTCCTAACCCTATCCAATGGAATGACAGCTTATGCTCCTCCACCTGTTATTGATACAACCTTATGATAAGTTATATTTTAGCTATAGGTCGGCCGCTTAGAAAACGACCTCCTCCAGCATTGGTTTAGCATTAGCGCGCAGGTCGTTTTCTAAGCGGCCGAACTATAGTGATGTATTATTCGCAATATTTAATGGTTCAGGTTTTGTTTCATCGGTTGTCGGTTATTTTTAGATTTAAGTAGAAATATGAGATCGACTATCTTATTAGTTTTTACTCCCCAACACAAAGATCAACGATAGAACTTTTGTAAAATACCAAGTTTTGGACCATTCTCTTACAAAAAAAGAGTAATAATGCCACTGGCGTGGAAAACACCAAAATTTAATAGGCCTGCATAAAATTGCCTAAGCTACATCAATAATGATTCTATTTGTTTTTGGTTTGATTACATTGTTACAGTTATTATTGCAGGTAAAATTTGGGTTTCACCGATAACTAATGAGAAATGGATGATTGCAATCATTCTTTTTTATAACCACAATAAAAATTAGTCATTATTTTTTTTAAAAACTCGTCATAACTAAGCTGTTTTTTACGCATGTCTTGAGTGGCTGCTGGTAGAAAAGCAGAATGAATTTCGGTAATCATGCCACTATTTTTATTGTGTCCAAAAGTCGCAGAATTATCATGATCGTTTCCCGCAGTGGTAGGACATCATCATCGACATTTTCCATCAATTCTCAGGTTTTATTTTCTAAAAACAGACAAAACGGACAACCGAATTTGAAAAACCACTCATCCCTAATTGTAACATGTACGAAGTTACATCTAGAAAGTAAGTTTCCAAGAGATCCGTTAAATTTCAGTAGTACTTTGAAAAGCCACTATAGTGAAAAATCAAAAAATCACTAACTCGACAATTTTTTGTGTACCCAGAGGGCCAAAGGTAGTGAAGTTTTGGGGTTGTTGATGTCAGAACATTGAAATATTTAATAGGGTTTATTAAATGAATACATATCAGACTCGTTTTTGCACATAAATTTATTACTAAGATGAGTATTTTTACATATCGAGTTAACAGTCTTCAAAGAAATGAGGAATATTCAACAATTAGAACTCGAAAACTCTAACACAACAGTAAGACAAAGCCAGCTAGATGTGTGCGCTGTCCTCTAGTCCGCTGATGACTGTTGAGTTTCTGGGTGTCAAGTTAGTGTGGTTTTACTTCAACAGTGTTTCTGATGTTTTTCAACATTTGTTTCTTCACAGGCAAGTACCTAAACACTACGATATTCCCCATGATCCGCCACAAGCTGGCGGCTGCGTTGGTGTCGTGGCATCCGTCGGACTGCTCGGCCAGGCTCATGTTGAGGCCGTGGGTCGGGGCCTTCAGTAAGGGAGAGATGGACGCTTTCCTCATCAACAACATCGTACCTAAACTGCACCTCACTTTACAGGAGTTTGTCATCAACCCCCATCAGCAGCATTTAGGTGAGTTATTAGGCAGATAATGAGATGGGGAAAATTAATAGGTTAAACAAAAAAAATCCTAAATTTTGAAAGTTCAATGTCCTTATTCAGAATGTTTTATGTTTACTGATTTTAACAAATGCACAAGTTTTTATAATGTGGACCAAATACTACTACAGATGGTGATGGTGATTTGGGACGACGAATAGAATTTGTTCTAGACACTAGCGACTGGTGTTAGACACTACTTAAGTGTACCATTGAATGTATCTTTAGTGTCTTACTTCTCTGTAGTGTAACTAATAAAATTGAATCCAGTCGATTAAATATTGTTCTAATCTGTCTTTGAGTTTTGGAGGGTTCAAGATAAACATTTGATATAATTTTACTGTATACATCTTATTTGACTATATGATGTAAACCTGTTATAAAATCAACATCTTGAATCATCCCTTGACATTAAAGAAGTGTCTGTTTTTACAAATGCTACTTATGTTTCTCCTAGACAACTGGAACTGGGTGATGGAATGGCAGGAACTACTCCCATCACATGTTCTTGCGTCTCTCTTGGACAAGAGCTTCTTTCCCAAGTGGCTACAGGTTCTCACTCTATGGCTCAACCTCAATCCCAACTATGACCAGGTCACCAACTGGTACACAGGCTGGAAGAGTGTACTTCCCGAACCTCTGCTCAATGAACCAGTAATCAAAGGTAAGCCTAACCTGAACCTTCATTCAGGTGCCTTATTTATTTCTCAATTAAGGATGTTAGACAGACAGTGTTTTTAAATGACTCTTTTGAATGTCCAAGGCTTTAAAATCCAGTTTGTTGTTTTTAAATACATTGTTGTTGTTTTTATTATTTTTTAGGATTTTTTTACTATATTAGGCTTGCCTGATTGGGAAAGAGTCCAAACAAGCACAGGAAACACAAAATATTAGAATACTTTATAGTGAAGGTGAAAAACTTAGACCCTTGTGCTCTGTGTTACATATTTTTTAATAATTTTTCGTTTTATGTTAACAGAACACCTGAGATCAGCTCTAGAGCTGATGAACAGATCAGTGGGAGGAGGTTCTGCGCCTCAACCTTCACAACAAGAAGCTGCTCAAGCCCAGGCCCGCTACCAGGTATATCTACACCAACAGTCAATATTTTATGTCTGTCTAGATACAAGGGAAGAAGAACAGAACAAAGAATCCTTAACATATCATGTGTAGATAAGGTTAGGTTGATGTTTCCTACAATCTTGTACGAGGTCCAATATATCTTGAACTCCTGACTACTTCACTGTTGGAATGATAAATCATCTGATTCTAAAGAATAGGTGTTTTAACTAGTGTAGTGTTTTTGGTAGTGAAGTACCACTTCAAATCAAGTTGGAATCGCCTCAGAGTCATGTAGATTGATCAGTTATGAGTTGCATAGGACTACTTCAATCAATGACTATGATTACATTTGAGGGTTGTCCCTTCCTTATCCTGCAAAGTTTTAAACTTTATGCTTAAAACTTGTTTTGTAAAAGTTTGTACTAGTTTGGATCTTCTGGTCCACTCAGTTGTAATCAAGGCAATCAGTGCAGACAGAACTTTGATCTGCAAACTGCTACATATACTTTCTCTACACTTTAAGGATAAACATGAGCATAGGGGCCTAGGTTGTTAGGAATTTTAGTTGAGATAGCAGGCTCACCTCAATGGGAAAGAGTGCAAACTGGCACATGAACCACAAAACCTTATACTATACACAAAATGTTAGAATATTTCACTGTCTCCAACGGCATTTTCCTCTTGACGGCATCTTCCTTGTTTGAAAATGCATGAGTGACAGTGAAATTTTCAAATGCTCTGTGTTTGGTGTAAAGTCTTGTGTCAGTTTAGACTCTTTCTCCTTGCTTTGTTGTAGTATTTTTTGCTGTTGTCTAACTGCAGTTTTTCCCCAGGGTTTGGTCGAGTGTATCAAGACCACCCAGCAAGTACCACAGCAGTTTAAGGACCTCGTTCAGAAGCGTTGTGAAGAACTTGGCATTGTTTGGATGCCTCTACCTAACCGATACCGAGAGGCTAAGCAGGTGTACAAGTGCGGCAAACTCCAAGTGTACATCGACCGCAACGTCTTGTTTGTTTGCAACTCTGGCCAATGGGAACCGACCTCTCTCAATGCGCTGTTGGAAATGGCTATCTAATTTGTAAACATTTTCCCTTTTATGTATATATTCAATTGTAACTACTAAAATGGGTTCTTTTACCTTTTATTCTTTTTGTTTTTTTAATGTGTTTTTTATTTTTTTTTATGTGTTTCAGAAAGTTACGTAGCATTCAAAAACTTTTTTATATAAATTTTTTATGTCTTCTTAGTGGTAATTTATTATTGAACAAGTGAAATTAAAATAAATTCAACCTGGTTTGAACTTTGAGTCTACTATGATGCCTGTCGAGCTTATATTTGAAAAAAGGCAATCAGTTATCCGTCAACTTTAGGTTGAACCAAATACTTGTTATGTAAATAGTCTTGCTTTGTAAATAAACTTGTATTTAAGTTCAAATGTAATGTTACTTTTTTACCTTGATCGCCAAGTGATCCATGTAAGTCCAAAAAATAGGATTACGCGTGTTTCGACTTCAAAGCGTCATTGTCAAATCGTACAAAATTTTCTAAACCGACGATTTGACAATGACGCTTTGACGTCGAAACACGCGTAATCCTATTTTTTGGACTTACATGGATCACTTGGCGATCAAGGTAATGTAACCTTATATATATTTTATCATCGGTGATTCAGAAAAACAACATACATCATGAAGTTACTTTTTTGTTACTGTCCTGTTTTATTGTTTTTCCTTTTTAAGGTAAATTAATTAATGCCTTCAAACACACAAATAACCAGTCTTTTGCTTGTGTGAGATTTGCTAAAAAAGATACTACTGCACTATACTTCATTGTCAATATTTAGGTGGTTTGAGGGGAAAATCTCTCACCACTTTATTTGTATTTAATGTATGTTGCTCAGCTGTAGAGCTATTATTTTAAAGGTAAATGTCAAGTGGAGGGGATGGATTTCTTCTCCTAAAACCGCATAAATATTCTGAACGAAGTATTACTTGTATCAATAGTCAAAAGTATTACCATAGACTAACCAACACAAGTAGACTTCTCATCCCATTGTAAATTTTGAAGCACGTTTTTCGTGTCTAGTTCATGTAAGTGACACAAAGGCGCTAGTGTCGATGAAACTTTGTTTCCATTATTTTAGGGTTAATTTCTTGATTTGTGCTTTACTGTTTGGTTATATAACTAGGGGACAAGTTATTTATTTATTTATTTATTTATTCATTTCGACGGCAATCGCCATTTTACAAAACAATCATTAGACAAGATTTACATGCAACAAGATATAATACAATAGAAAACATCAATAAATGAGTAAGAAGTTTGGTGGTGGTGGACAGTTTGAGTGAAATTGCAACAGTTACAACATTGTGAAAAAAAGTAATAATAACAAGAAACAGTGTAAATAAATAACATCAATAACAATAACAAGAAACAGTGTAAATAATTAACATCAATAACAATAACAAGACAAAGTGTGAATAATAAACATCAATGACAATAACAAAAAACAGTGTAAATAATTAACTACAATAACAATAAGTGTGAAAAATTAACATCAATAACAATCAGTAATCATTAAAATGACAACATTGTGAATAATTAACATTAATAAATTTACTATACATAACAATAATTATTGTTTATTGTTTATGATTAGATCGTATTATTTGGTTAAACGAGGTTTTAAATGGCTGTAATAACGGGAAACAAATTGTAAACAAAACACGATCTCTACATAAACCGTACATGAACTAACAATAAAATTGTCCTCAGCTGTTCCATAAGGATGAGAAATCTACTAAGGGAGTATGTTTTATGTATGGTATTACTATGACATATCCTATACCTTTGAATTCACACTTGTTCATCTCAGTATTTCAGGTCAGGTCATTGAAGGCTTACACTGTATCTGGTATACATTTTATGTTTGAACTAAACTGCAGCCATGTTGAGCTGAGCTTGTTGGTTCCATGCTCACACACACCCTATATACCTTTACTTCATCTTTGAGATCTCTGTGTGCCTTAACAGTTTTACAGTACTTGATGTTGGGTCTCCAGGCAGAAGGTGTAAGGAAGTAGGCCAGTAATGTAAGATATAAACTACTTTTTTAGCTGTCTAAGCACATTCATTGAGTATTTCAGCTGGGTTTAAAAACCTAAACACAAACCATAACACCCTGACTCCTGAAAATACTAGAAGAAGCCAATCTTTTCCACTGTTTCACCTGTTCCAGATAAAAGTTGTGGGAATAATAGTTCAGTCCAATGTCAATGCCATCATGTCTCCTGTTCCTAGCTCCCCATCCAGGAGCCAGTAAGGTTGAGTGTACACTTCTATTTTGGCAAGTCCTCCCCCCATTAAATAAAATGTTGCCTTCCCTTCCGCCTCTAGTGGTTTGACAGGTATTGTAAACACAGGTATTGTGTTTTGAGTTCCAGGTTGGCCACCATAGCAGTTTGACGCCCAGATGATGTGACCTGATTGGTGCTGCCGCTGCCCATACATTCTGTCTAAATATAAATTTGCAATTATTCAATTCAATAAATGTGACACTGATCAATGATTCAATATTGGTCTCAAATTGTCCGTTCGTGCATTGATTATACATTGCCCGAAACAGACCTACTTCTTACTCCCTTCAAACAAATCATTAATCACCGCTGCTCGAATGGGCAAACGGGAGGGACGATGGCTAAAGGTGTGGTAACGTTATATCATAGATAAAACATACTCCCTTAGGTTATATCTTTAGTGGCTAAAATGTCTTCCCTTGAGGCAACACGATTACCGCAACGGGCGCAACGAGACGGTGTGCTTCCAGCGAGCGGTGGTCCGGTGGTCGTGGCATAGTTAGTTGGTAGCGTTTCGGCTTCGGACTGGTGTTTAGGAGGTCTCCAGTACGAAACCAGCTTGGGCACTATCTTTTGCCCAAGATTTTACTTTTTAACTAAGAGTTTGATGCATTTAAAATTTTATTTATGAACAGAACTTTTCTTTTAATAGTAAAACTTTAATCGACTTTTTTCTCGTATATTTTTATATTATCAGCAAGTTTGGTTGGTTAGGGTAGGATATGACAGTTAAATTTTATAATAAAAAAATTTTAAAATTAATTTTTTGATTAAAAATTTATTATATTATTAAAAAGTTTATTTTATAGTAAAAAAATATCAAATTAATTTCAATTTTTTCAACTTAGTGGTTCTAGCGGCGAACGTCGACACTACAAGATATGTCAGCCATAATCCCTCCCGTTTGCCCCACCGTATGACTGCTAGTGTCTGCTTCTGCTATCCATGCCACGTCAGCTGTTGACAGTTCGTTTCGTTCGTACTCGGGCCCCCAAGTGGCCCAAGTGGATCGAGGGTTGGCTAGTAGTTTTAGGTTATAGTAACTTTACCATATTTTAGTTGTTAGCCTAGCCAATGTATTATTTTTTATAAAAAATATTTTTTACATATATTCCTACTTTTCCTCCTGTATTGAAATCAGTGATCATGGCCAGTCCCCGAACTAGAAGGGTCCTTCAAGATTTGATGCCTCAATATGACAACTCGGTGAGTCAATTGAAATGACGCTATAGTTTAAGCTTATGATAATGATTTAACTTGTTAAATCATATTAAAACATGATCATACATCAATTGATAAAAATACTTCTATACTGCCGCTTCAAAAGATAGGCCTAGTTGTACCTGACAATCATCAGTGTTAGGCATATCAATGTAAATTCATAGGAGAAAGATTAGGCCTAGGGCCTAGATCGCCTATTGCACTTATTTCGATCCGAAATTTGAATTTTATATAGCTTTTTAACATTATTTTTAAAATCATATGGAAGTGTGGTTTTGCGATCGATAAGTACTGTACGGTAAGACAATTTTCCTATCATGAGCCAACAAAATAATTTCAGTTCACCAACTTGGAAACAGTACTGGGCCAGGTACAGTTTCTTAACTGGGCTACGCTAATATCGATTGAATCTATCAATTCGATTAGTAAACCTTCATGCGATTTTTTCACCATCAGCAAGTTTGGTTGGTTAGGTTAGGTAATGATAGTTTAATTTTATATATTTTTAAATATCGATTATTAATCATATTTTAAATTCGATAGTTTCAATCGATATTAGCGTAGACCAGTTAAAAAACTACACCCCTAGGTTAAATACACACAGTTAAATCCCATACAGCATAAATTATGTGCAATTTGCCATTTGGCTAGGCCTATCAGTTAATTAATTATGCTACCTTACTTACTTGATACTTGGTTACTTCATCCTTGACCAACAAAGTTGGATAGATTGTGTCTTATTTGTAACATTAACCCTCCGAGTGTTATTTGTCGCTGCAGCAACACATAACACACTTTGAGTAGTGTTTTGTGTCGCTGCAGCGACTCACAAACACTGTTTACGGCGAAGGCTCTATGACTGACAAAATCGGATTGAACTGGATCGAGTTAGGTATCGTTTTATTTTACAGATTCAGAGCTTTCTCCGGAGGTCTGTCTCTAAGCGCTTTTCATTTTAGTTCCGAAAATATTGTAGCAGACAGCTGACGTGCGTATTTGTTAACAGCTTGGTTAACCTCGGACCGATGACTGATGTGTTTTATTACGTTTATCATTGTTTTAGTGTTAAAAATCAAAAGTAGTGATATACATGGTGTATTATAAGAAGATTTAAGTGATTTTGAAGGGCTGGTTGATGATCCTGAAAAAGTAGGCTAGGTAGTGATATTGATGTAAATTATCAGCCAGATTCCTAGCTATGGTTAGGCTATGCATTCTTAGCTAGACGCTATGTACTGAAATCTGTTTTTTGTCCATAACTTATTTATTTGCAAATCTACTTCCTTATATTATAATATCTTTAATCCTCATAAGATTTTGAACAAAGTGGCTATTTTCAAATATTTATACTTAGGCCTATAATTTATACAATTTCATTGAGCTCAAACTTATTTTTTTTTGAAAATTTTCCAAAATATTTTTTTTTTTACCAAAAATTTTTGTTTGAAACAAATGTTTCTTATGTTTCATGTATAATATTGAAGCCCATGATTTTCCAAACAAAATGGTATATAGAACAGTAGCCTATAATTAACATTGTTTTCAAGCTTCTCAGATCCGTTTTAATAAAACCTTGCAAATGAGCAAAAAATAGGCAGACATTAAGGCCAAAACAAGGGACACTCGGAGGGTTAAAAACATTTAAACACAAAACATACATACCTAACCTAAGGGCCACATTAGATAGTAGGCCAAACCTAGCTGTAGCAAGGCAAAGCGTTTTCTTACAAAACCATATTTTTAAATGTCACAGGTTGAAACAAAGCAAATTACTTGAGGTTATGCTGAGGTCAACATACCTATTCTTGTACATTTATCATTTAAAGATAAGTACCGTAAGCCTATTGTATAGGGGTAAGTTAGACTACAAAGTAGGAAAAATGTCTAAGTAAGTTAGGTATCAACCTGTATTTTGATTTGAGCATTTTCTTAATGTTCATATCTTTATTTAGTAGGTACCTACCTAGCTATATTAAACTTAGTGATGCCAATGAAGGGTTATCACAAGTAAAGTAATACTGTACCTTAAATAACTTAGGCTATCGGATGGAACCTCGGTCTTCATGAGATAACCTTGTGATTTTAGATTTGGCGAAGATAGGCCGAAGTGGACAGTGTTTTGGTTGTGTTGCAGCTATCCATCTTCAAGTCAAACCCATCCGTCTTCCATTTTGACCAAGTTTTAGTCTCTATATTTTAATGAATGGGCTACCTATGTAATAGGTTTATCAATATAAGTTATCCAAGTAGGCTATAAACAAAATTCCTTACTAATAATTTCCTCTCTTTTAGAAATGTTTTGAGTGTGGAGCCCACAACCCTCAATGGGCATCAGTGACATATGGAATCTGGATTTGTCTGGAATGTTCCGGAAAGCACCGAGGGCTCGGGGTTCATCTGTCTTTTGTTCGATCAATAACAATGGACAAATGGAAGGATATAGAGTTGGAGAAAATGAAGGTACAGTAATTTGAGCTCGGCTTTAGTTAAAAATTGTCAACTAACTCGTGTCAGCTATTGGATCATCTACAAACTCAAGTCCTAAGTAGGAGGTACTTTTGACCTCCGCTAGGCCTATAGGTTTCTGTTGTACATTTTAGACATTATGAGTAGGCCTAACACAGTTTGGATACAAATTAATAGTCATGTGAGGAGAACTTTGTCTTTTTGGCACACCTCCTTTAATACAATCTTGTCGCATGTATCACAATGTAAAACGATTGTAAAAATGGTGTTTGCCGTAAAAATAAATAAACAAGCCGTGCATAATTAATTGAACAGATGATTAATAATTTTCTGTTATAAAATAAAACTAAATACTATTAGGCCTAAATTTGAAAACATACTTCAACACGTTCATTACCGAATGTCACATTCCTCCGTAACTGAGGGCTGAATAGGCTATAAATTAGGTAGTTGGTAGCTACTGTATTAATGTAATCATTGATAGAAGCAGACTACTGATTGCATTAACTTTACAATTTCAAAATGAGATAATAACTACACCAAGTGTATTTATTAGGCACATTCTTATTCTGAGGTGCATTGGAATGTTATTTAACCTCTAAACGTACATTTAATTTTCAAGGTTGGTGGCAATCGTAGAGCTAGAGATTTTTTCGATGACCAAGATGATTGGGATGACACAATGCCCATCCAGCAACGTTACAACACCAAAGCTGCAGCCCTGTACAGAGACAAGGTAAGAAACTTAAAATAAAAGTGGTCGACTATACTCACCTTTTAATACAAAGTGCATTTTGGCCAGTCTTGGTAGTTCCCAGTTTTGCCGATAGAGTGTAGCCTACCAGCTATTGGGAACATCTCTTGTGATGAAAAATCACAATAACGACTTTCCCCGCCCTCTGATTGTTCAAAATGGCGACGCTCTACATTTGCCGGTCTCTGCTATGAGAGACGCCAGCGCTATGGACAGACTTTCTTTCTTTTCTTTTTCTTTTTTTCAACGCCAGTGGCATTTTATGAGAGAGTCACGAGAGAATAAATGGACTAACTGGCAAGTGTTTAGTTAATTTGCAGACTCCACGAGTAACTTCGTTCTCTGCTGCGTTTGCTATTATATTGGCTTTATTGTTGTATTATTATAATTTAAAAAAAATCATATTTGACTTTATGGAACATATATTTTTTAAGTAGCCTATATGTAGCGTTACGGTCAATGCCACCCAACATATCTGTTGCGCGGTAAGGGTTAATATATGATGCGAACTATGACATTCTTAGCATAATCCTAAAATAACATAACCTATTCAAGTAGGCCTTTAAAAGCATAATTCTTTAACTTAATATTCTTGTAGTTCTATAGTCGATTAAGTGTTATTTGTCACTAGCCTACTTGTCTTTTCTGAGTGAGTTTCTCAACTGCTAGAGGAGCCGCTCTTTCCACCCTGAGGAATATTCCAATAAGTCCAAACCGCCATGCCACAATGTTTTTTAGTGTTGTAAATATTAGTTTTGTATAAATTTGTATATAGTAATTAATTGACACAATCTATCCGATAATGTCGGTCAACGATGAAGACATCAAGTATCAAGTATTAAGTATGTTCTTTTACCATCGTTCATTGTTATTGATATTAAGTTTGTGTTTGAACATTTATTATTGGGGACAGTTATCATCACAATAATTGGAACATTTCCTTAATGATCTTTTGAACTAGCCTAGTTGACTGTTGCTATATTTGTATAAAGTTACACTGCACGGTACATAGTACTCACACACTATTATTAACATTATCAAAAAATGTTATACTTAGGCCTACCGGATATTATGGATTAATGAACCTATGAATTGTTATGAGTTTAACCATCCATGTTGTCTCCATTTTATCTACAGACATTAACTTATACTCTTTTATCATCAACCTAAATTCCTACCGGCATACTTTTTACATTATTTAACCCCTTAACCGCCGTCTAAGTAGCCTAGTCAAAATCCGCCATTGCCACTTATTTTTGCCGTTTTTTGACGATTTTTACTTGTGATTTAAAAAATTGTACCAGTTGTTTTTTTTTTTAAAGAAAATATTTATCAATATTGTTTGTAGACATCTTCAAAAACATTAAGCTTTAACAATACTAAAATTTGAGATTGGGGGGGGGGGGGGTTCGGGGGTTTCTTGAGTTAGGCCTATAATAAAAATTAGGCCTACAAAAGTCTACAACTCTAATAAATCATCATCCTCAAGCATGTCACCAGCCATTTCGACTAATATTTACTACTCATTCAACACTATCAAGTAAATAACCACCAAAAATCACAATTATAATGACACGCATAATGTACGTAAGCATTACGTAAGCTTCCGCAAGTACGAGTTTTACTGAAACTACGAACGGAACTGATCGGGACCATTACTGACCTATAATACCACTAAAATCCACCAGATTGCAGCACTAGTCAAGCAGCACTGTCAACAACTTGTTTACGTACGTATATCAGAGATAAGGCGGGAAGTGAGCTGTTAAAAATAAAACACAACAGCTGATTACGTCAACACGAGATAACTCGTGCGTGGCGGTTGCTCTGAAAACTAGTATCACCCGGCATATCTCGTGCGTGGCGGTTAAGGGGTTAATGCTATAGCCTACCATAGTTTATTTTAAATAGTTGGTTTGAATGCAGTTTAGGAACCCTTTTGTATGCAGTGTCAAAAGCGCTTTTGTCAGTCAGTATCTACATTTCTCTCTGACGGTTTCAGATTGCAACGCTGGCCCAAGGCAAACCCTGGGATGAGGCCAAGGCTTCTGCACAAGTTTACAGCTCTGGTTCATCATCCAGGTAAGATGAAATTGATTGTAACCTATGTTAGTCTGCCTTCCTTTTAAAATTACAGACTATTTTAAGGCGCAATATTATTCAAAACCAGTTTTTTGTGAGTAAATTTCACCTCCAGTAAGCTTAATTTTTCTACAGTATTAATGCTACACTAAGCTGGATTGGCATTATACATAAAAGTATCCGTTGATTTCGACGGGTTTCACCTAGTCTATATTATTAACAAATTTGAATTTTTGTGTCAACAAATCGACCCCTAAATATTTATTTTTATAGGCATATTAGGTATCAATTTAAAGCTCTTATCCTCTAGATGTGCCTTTTGTGAGTTTGGATGATATCTCATGAAAGCCCATCCCTACAGGCTTTTAAAACTTCAGAGTTTATGCTGAATTCTGTTGTCAATCATCTGAACTGTTTCAAGTTTAGATAAAAACAGATGACCATAATAATACAATTTTGTTTACTAAGCAGCAACAAAAAGCTGTAATATAGAAAGAGAACTGTCAAAGTAGGATTCTTACAGTTAGCCTATGTGTTTTAATCATTGGCGACAAGCATTCAACAGAAATAAATTGGTATGTGTTTGAAAATTATGCAATGGAATGGACTTTAGACAACACAAATTATTACAAGTTATACACTGCAGAGCATTAAAATGGAAAGATGAGCCTGCTGGAATGAGTCGTTTTGGTGCAAAAGTTTCTTTACCTGTATTAGAAGAGCCGATACAGCTATGAAAGAACTGTACCTTGGAAAAACTGAAGAGTCGTGGCATTTTCAGTTTCAAGATTTTATTTTGTAAGATTTTTTAGTTGGAGATTAAACATATTGTTTAATGTTGAATGGTTTTCGTTTAGTTTTTAATTGTAATTTAATTGCATTGGCATTTTTAATCGTAACATGATTTTTAAACAGTGTGTGATGCAAATGATTATAACTTATTTTTGTGATCGTTGGCGAAGCCACGACGGATAATTATTTGCAAAACCATAACAGAACTAAATACATATACCTCAACAAAAAAATTAAGTTAACAATAATTAGAAACCTTCAACTATACAGTTGTGTCATGTGTTTTGATTTAGATTGTAATACTCTGTTTATTTCTTATGATGTAGGTATGATGGTTAAACCATCTCAGGCAAAGCCACAGGTACAAGCTAGTTTTACATATTTATAAGTTTTATTTTAAACAATACGATGGTTTAGTGTTTATTGTTGTCAACATAAATATTGAAATCATCTTATGTCAGGTCGCAGCCCCAGCAGAGAACCTCTTCACCGCAGTATGATAACTCTTATGATGGCTCAAGCTACCAGAACATGAACTCTCAGAATTTTAAAGATGAGACGGAAGCGTTCTTCAATCGCAAACAGTCAGAAAATTCCACCAGGCCAGAGTATGTATAAATCTTTTATCCTTGCTGTTATGCCTGTTTTATAAACACAGGCAACATAGCTAACTTCTACAAACCTGCAAAACACAATGTTTTTTTTAACACACAAATACATTGTAGCATTTGGCTATAGTTAATGATCCTTGGTAAGTGATTACTTGTTAGTTAGGCCTAACAATTTTCTGGTTTACAGGCATTGACATAGGCTATTGTTTTTTTCCATCTGTTTGAAATTTTGGATAGCCCACTAATCTTTTTCAAATACCCCAAGTGGTTTCATGGCAATTTTTCTAATCCTCTAGATGGCAAAGTCTTATTTGACGCAAAACTACTGTTTAGCAAAGACCTAGAACTAATCAATCTTTCTCAAAGTTTCTAGGCTTAGAACTTGAGGAACTAGACATTTAATTTCTCACTATGTATTTATTTTTAAATTTATACTACTCACTACTACCACATTAGGGGGAGCGAGCTGGCGTAGTGGTTAGAGCGCGGGACTTGAGTCCCTGAGGTCCCGGGTTCGATCCCCGCCAAGTCACCAATGGATTTTATCTAAGTGATAATGCCGCAACCCCTAGGTCTAGCCTGAAGTAATGTGAAAAACAATCCCTGGCTCGTGCCTAGTGTGCTAGGACAAAAATAAATAAAAATAAAAAAAACCACATTGGCCTGTCCATGTCTGATTTGACTTTGTTTTCAGCCATGTTCCCCCCAACCAAGGAGGGAAGTACTCAGGGTTTGGTTACACGATGGATCCACCTCCAAAAAGCCAATCTCAAGAGTTTTTCGACACTGCTGTCTCGTCCTTAGCCAGTGTAAGTCCTTTAGTAGTGTAAATGTAATTCTTTAGCTGCCAATTCCCCATAAGGGAAAAGCTAATGACAAGTCTCTTGGTAAGACCTAGATCTGGGACAGAGTTTTTTTTTCATGTTTGTGTTTCCAGTGACCGAAAACAACATTCGTTCAAATTGATGTTGCCTATGTCTCAGCTAGCACGATAATTTGAGTAAAAATCATAATATTTTGAAGATGTGTGAAACAAACTTATATAAAAACCTACGTTTATTCAAACCAGTTGGCAAACCAGCATGATATTGGGGTATTGGGTTCCATGGGAATTTTTATGGGTTGAAAATTGGTTTTCCCATTTTCAATCCCCTAAACTAAAATTTTTGAAATTTCATTCCGTAGCCATTTTGAAGAGTTTAAAAAATATACAATTTAGTATATTGAAGAGTTACTGGTGTTGATTAAACCACAGATAACAACCGCTAATCTTAATTTACATTTGTTCCAGGGATGGTCCCTGTTTTCGACTGGTGCCACCAAACTTGCCACCAAAGCTACAGAAAGCGCCATTAAAGTGGGTGGTATTGCGACTCAAAAGGTAGCTGAAATTGGTGTTAATGTTAATGATAAGGTATGTTTTATTCATTTCATTTTTATTTGTTTACTTGTATATTTATTTTGCTTTTATAGTTTTCATTTAGGCTATGTTATATTGTGTCGTTAGTTTGATGCTTGAGTTGGCCAATTTAATTTGGTAATTTATTTTAGTTACCATCCCAGTCCATCGCCATGTCCAACAGTAGGCCTACTATCAACACTAAAATCTTGATATCTCTCCAAACTTAACTTACAACTCTAATTGTCTGGGAAGAGTGTTTAGTGCTCACCTTCAAATCAGGAAGAGAGTCAAAGAAGGTCACTGTTTTGATACCAAGCGAGATTGTTTCTGGACTCAAATGCCCTTTGTCATTTGGCTAACAGTTAAAGATGCTTTCTTACAAAAGTCCGATGTTGGTGGATCAATACCAGGGTTTGTACCGATCCCTTGAAAATGCCAATGGTGTAAAAAGAGAGAAAAACACCAAACTTTACGCCTTGAGTCAAGCTGAAGATCTAATTATTTCTGGTATACTGAAACTGGTACTTTTTGGCCTAAATAGTTGTTTTCCTATTTGATTATTCCCTTGTAATATTTCTTGCATTTTCATAGAACATTCATTACCCTTTATCGACTGATGTTTCTGAGTTGAGTTACTTATTTTAATTTTTTCCATAATTTTGTGGCATTTGATTTTTTTTCTCATTTAGTTTGTTTTCTATTTTACTGTAGGTAAAAGAAGGTAAATTGTTGGACGATGTACAGTCACAAGTCTCTAGTTTGGCGAGCAAGGTAAGTTTTTCATTTTTATATTTATTTTAGAAGTTTGCAAATTTAGTACCTTACCACATTATATTAATTAACATTTTCAATCAAGATAGCAAACATAACACATTTTTTTATGTGCTTGAGAAGCAACGCATTCTTGATCTTGAATAGAGATTTACAACACGTAAATTGCTAAGATATCAATTTGGCGCCTTCCATTTGGATTTTAAAATCATTTGCCTGTCATATTTGGAACTCCTAGGTGTTTGTGCATAGTCAGTTAGAAGATTCCCGAAGCAATGAAAGTTTATACTCTGACTCTTCTAAAATACAGTAGAGGTTTTGTTGCTGTTTAGGGGGCATTACCAATACTGTAGTTGATTTGTCAGAAACATTGAACTTTTGAATGTCAATGTTGTACAACTTCTCACTAGACACTTGCTGTGTAAACTAGATTTGTTGAGTCTACTATGTAACAGATTAACTTGTAGGGTATTATATTATTTTTAATTTAAATGAAACTGAAATGCACCAATCACTAGAATGTATTGGTTTTAAATATCACCACACAGTTCATTGTTATCTAAATTTGATACTTGAACAATAAAAACATTAATTGTACGCTACCATTCCAACTATAAAGACTGTGTGGTTTTTCTCAATTATTTTTCTCATTTCCAAAATAACATATGTTGATTACTAACTTGTAGTCATGTCGTTGGTCCAGTTTGTCGAGTTAACCTCTGATCGACCCACCGAAGCATGCAGCATGACAGTAAGATTAAACATGAAAATGTATGATTTAACACACACACACTTGCTTTGCACTTGAGATGTCATAAAAAGAATCAAGAACTTCAACTAATACTTTTATAGGGTTATGATTTTTAAATTGATTTACATAACTCACCCTGCAGTTTGAAATAAATGTTTGATTTTATCACTATTTAATCCAGGTGTTAACATAAAATTAATATTATGTGTAACAAATTGGTGTTTTTTTTTAGTGGACCCACTTTTTAACCTCCTATTTAAGGACCATTTAAAATTCCAGCTTTACTATTCCACAGTAATTGAACATAGCTATGTATGGGAATGCATTGGAATTTGGAAATATAAACAGTACATTGGATACTGCAACTACAGTAGACTCCCTCTAGTTCGGCCACCTCGGGACCTCGGGGCCACTGGCTTACAAAAACGGCCGGACTAACCGGATGCAGTAGAACCTCAATTATCCGGGGTAATGGGAGGGGAGGCCACGGATAACTGAAAACCACGGTTAAACCAACATGGCATAAACATATACCCATAAAACACCTAATACTGTATAAAATGGACGTTAATATGACAATTAATTTGCAATTTTACATTATCAAAATACAAATAATAGTATTGCGCAATTGTCATATGTTAAGTCATTAACCTTGGTTCAGTAATAAAAACTAACTGTTACGATTAAAATCACGCTTATTCAAGCAAAACAAAAACTACACAACACTGTACGTACAGCAATAAATCACGTAAAGAACAGAACAATAGAAAGTCTTTACTGCAAGCTACTGCTACCGTAGTCAGCAAAGGCTACTATTACATGTTGTTTCAGAACATAAGAATGTCGATAAAAACATTAGATAGGCTAACTCATAAAACAGCATTAAATCATAGTACTTAGTCTTAAAGATAATCACGACAGTCGTAAAATACGTAGTGATAAAGATTTAACAATGGATGATGAAAACACCGCTTATTGTTTCTTCTTTGTTCTTCTATTCTTTCTTTAGTTTCTCTTTATCCAAATATTAAACAAGTTGCCATGGTTACTAATCACCCAATCACAAACTGTTGTGAGATAGCAAGCGCACAGCAGATAGTTGTGTAAAGAGCAGATGATTGTCAGTGCAAGCGGATAGCTTGACCTTGAAGCTAATAAAGGCTATTTCTTTGTTTTGCTTGAATTTATTTTTGTGAAATAAACCGAGGCGTTTCAAAAACAATAATAGGGGAACGTACCACATAAAAAAGTTGTTCGAAATATATAATTACTAGCTGTACCCACGGGCTTTGCCCCGTTTAACTTCATAAACTATTCGCATGGCTCATAATCACGTTCTGGTTGAAGTTCGTTCGCTACGCTCACTCACCTTTAGGTTTGAAGCCCGACCAGAATAAAAACTACTTAGTTTTCCTATTTAATGCCCAAAGAATCGGTGTATTGAATTTCAGCCTCCTAGGTAAATGGGAAGTGGGAGAATTAGTGATGAGTGAGTGAGTGAGTCAGTCAGTCAGTGAGGGCTTTGCCTTTTATATATTTAGATGCCTATACACTGCATTTCAACATATTAGACTGAAGAAAAACTATTTAAAAAATGTTCTTGATACTTTTGAGGTTATGTAACAGAGGTAATATGCAACAATTCACGCATAGACACCCGTCAACTAAACTGACATAAATTGTTTACTTTTATGTTTGTTTACTTTTATGTTTGTTTACTTTTAACTAAACATTCAAGTTGAATCCTGTCGAAGGTCATTCGCTCGTGACGATATGACTTGTCCCCCTGAGACCAGGCCGGACCATCCGGTGGCCGATCCAACCAAAGCCGAACTAGACATAGTCTACTGTACTTTTAGTGTAAAATTTGATGTCTACAGTATATTAGTGTGTTTTTTTTTAATGTCCACAAACTATTAGACTTAAACAAATTCACGCTAAAAAGATTCTCAGGCATATTTCTTAAAATAGCTTAACCACACTTACTTTTTTACCATTTAACACGTTCGCTTCTTACCGCTAGATGCCGGGACGGCGCCAGGAGCTGAAGTAAACGCTCGCCGCTGCGTGACATTGCCCCCAATACACTGAATTACAGTAAAAACAACAGTAGTTATACTGGATGGCAATGTTCTGCAATAAAACTGGCTTTGGATGTAGTACTAAGTGATTCTGATAGATAGCAGCACTACCCAGGTTACAGTCGATAAAGTAGTGTCGCTATCTAGCAGGAAAGAGATGGAACAAAGCCCTGTTCCAAACGACCCTGGTGGTGATTTTGGGAAACTAAATTTTTTATTGTCAGAAAAGTACGTCCCCACAAGCTGCAAAGAAATATAGGATGCTTGCGACGAGCTGGCTTATCCATGGCAACGTTAAACAACAATGAACGGTGACGTTCCGGAACGTTCCTAGCTCCTGGCGCCGTGGCCCGGCTGACGCTCGAATGTCCGTAGCATTGAACGTGTTAATTGAATAAAACACCTCGGAATTAATAACTCAACAAAATATTTAAGCTCAAAGTTATCATAGAAAAACATTATGAAATTAAAATTTAAACTGGCAAAAAACCCGGGTTTTAAAGAAAATAAAATCAAAATATCAACTATTCCGCAAAAAAAAAAAAAAAAAAAAACAGAAATATTCCATCATATTTATGTTTTCTGAAAAAATATATATGATATTATTTAGCTTTCTAAATTATATAAAATTTTCTGGAAAAACTTTTTAAAGAAAAAAAAATAATAAGTATAAACTGGTTTTTAGCAAAATTATCCCCCTCAAAGGAGAATTTACTCCTGTGTGTGAGATAGATAGTACAATAGAAAGAAAATTGTCTATTGTCTATTGTCTATTGTCTATTGTCTATAGAGTCGTTAAATACATGTTTATGTTCACATATTAGATAATTTCCATGTTTAATCCAGTGTTAAAACATGGCCACCGTGGTGTGGCTTAGCACGTCGTGTGTAAACAAGACGTTAAACAGGGACAAGTTTATTTAAAAAAATGTTTAACATAGTAAAACTAACTAACACACTAAAAAAATATTTCTAATTTATGTGAGTGAAATCAAAACTTTTGCAGTACCGATACTCAGTACTTAAAAAAAAAAAAACACATAACCCTTTTTTAAAGGGGGTTAGGTTAAAAAATAAGTAATGTAAACATATTTCATCTGTACCGGTACTTCAACGTGACTAAGTAGTACGCACAATATTTTTATCTTATGAAGTTGTATGACAGGTTGAGAATCTCTTCTATTGTTGACAGGTCAGTGAGATGGGACGCAGAGGTTGGCAAGATCTGTCAGGTACCAACACGCCAGCGCCTCCCCCACAGTCTGCATCAGCTGATAACTTTCCTAGCTACTCCAACTACTCTTCTGAAAAGTCGTCGCTTCTTGTCGACGGAAACTTAAAGCAAAGGTAAGGTTAAGGTTTTGTATGCAAAATATATTTTAACTTTTACAAAAACCGTAAAGCTCACACCTATCTAACAATAAATTAAAAGTCTTGATGAGAAATTTACTGAAAAATTATTGGTTTTTGTTTTTTTGCCAAACGGGAGCCTCTCATATTTATTTTAAGAATAGTATATTTCAAAAAAAATTTACTCTTTTTGACCCGTGGTCAAGTTTTACAATCGAGGCGAAGTCAAGGTCGAGAAATGAGCGACTTTTTGCCCGTTTGGTGAACTATATTTTTCGTCATATTGCATCATTAATTAACAAAATAAGCTAGAAAACTAAATAACTTGTATGTAATTGTAATGATAACCTCTCAAAACGACTTCCAGCTTGTTTTCAATTCTGCTAATACAAATAAGCAGCTATTTAGTAAGTGATTCAACCATCTCGTCTATTACGATTGTTTTACAGTACATTATCCAATATAGATATGTCGAGCGATCGACAATAATAGTCTAACACCTTACCTAATAAATCAAACAATAAATAATTTCAACTGATGTGATTGCTACAATCAAAATTTGCTGTGAAACTGTTTACAACAGCTAATTTTACTTACTGATTTTTTAAAGTAAAAATGCTACTTAAGATCCGCAATGCATGCATAAAAACAGCTGTTATTGCTGCAGTATGATGACAAAAGCAAGTTGTATCCGTCTAGAAATAAACTTATAATTAATTTTGAGTCTGGTACCGATGATAAAATTCAAGATATACTACTAATGCAAAAAAAAAGCTATTTTTAAAAACCAAACTGAAACCCAACGAATAAAATAAGAACTCACATTTTATTGTGTTCAGTTGTCATTACGAGTGAGTTTGGTTGTTGTATTAATAGTCAAAGGTAGGGCAAGTAAAACTTATAGAAATCAGCTGTTTTTTTAACTAATTTTTAAGAGAACAAAATGCCACATTAAATGTAGGAGAGGTTTTATCTTGGCTTGTAAGTTTTTCTTTTACACCTTTTTCAATATCACAACAAACACTAGTTGCAGAATAAACTAATATACGCAAGTACTTTCTTCCATGAAATAAAGGTTATGACTGATAGCCTAATTATTCATGAAATACCCAGTGACATTCAGTTAGGCTATCTTGTGTTTGCACCCGAGTCAATCTGTTGAATGATGAATTAATTATGTTTCAGAAACCAAAGCGGAGGATCTCAAGGAGATTGGGGCGGAAATTGGAACGAAGCAAGTAACGAAAGAAAAAGAAACTCCGTTCCACCTGACACCGACTCATACAGGAGACGGACAAAAGAAGATGAGATATGGGATGAAATCAATAACTAGTGAGAAAAAGAATTGTTGTTGCGTAAGAATTTTAGTCTTCTAGTTAATCATTTTAAGAGAAGATATTTCCTACAGCCAGTATCGAGACTAAAAAACATTAACATTCGATTCAGTATTTAACTTTTGCATTGTTTTCAGTTGTATTGATGTGGTATGTTCTTGTAGCGAAATATCTCAACTGTCATTTTACATTAAAGAATTAATTTTCATGTTTAAGACAAGAAATGTGTTTGTATAATAGAATACAACTTATTTTTTCAACAAAAATTGATCAAATTCTCTGCTGTTTATAAAACTTAAATGCAGAATTTTATCTCTTGCTGAATCGTGGCGCAATTTAAAAACTTCTGTTTCCATGAATTTTTAGTGTTTTTTTAGGAAGTTTGAGACATCTTTTTATGTGAAAATAATGAAAAGTATTTGTCAATTTTATTGCTTACGAATACTGCAACTGGACAAAATGTTGTCAATAAGGTATGTTAAAATCAATTATACTGTTGGACTTCCATTTGTGATGGTTAAAAAGCATGATTGTTAATTTTTATTTCAACCAAACTAAGGTATTTTAAAACTAAGCCTTATATGATAACAGCTGTATCCATGCAAAGGCATTTAGGCACCACTGTAAACAAACCCAAGAAACATGCATTCCAGATAAGCTAATAATAAAATTTTATTTTTATTTATCTTCAACCTGAGTTTATTGACTTGCTATGTTTATTATTTATTTATTTTCAACTCTTAATTCGAACTATAATTTATGTTTTCTGTGTATATGTGTGTTATATATAGGCTAACATTAAACAACATACAAGGTTTCTTTCAAAATTCCCAATGAAAGTAGGCAATAGGATGGCCGTTATTAATAATCAATGTGTAAATGCGGAGTAGAATGGCAGAATAAAATGTTTTGAGAAATATTCAAAATGTGGTCATAAATTATTTTTATGTAGGCCTACGAGTGATTTTTATTCTTGAGATAATTCTGAAAGATTATTTATCTCTGTAAAACAGATCTAGTATCATTACCGTTGAGAACTTTGATAAGCACAACAAAAAACGTTTATTGTACAGTTCTAAAGACTAAAAACGTTTACTATCAATTAATGGTTAAATAGTTATATTCATCTTGTATATTACATTGTTTCTTAGAATATTTAGAATAACTGTTCATATAAATACATGAGTGTCAGAAGTTACACATTAAGTATCCTGTGTACAGAATATTCTTGGTTATTCATAAGGAAATTTTCCACTTGTATTATTGGTTTTTCCATTCTATCACTGCAGTAAAATTCAAATTCCTTTCTATGACACTGTGATATTATTGTACTTGATTTAATAGAGCTACATGTTTTTTTCTTTGTATGTTTTAAAGAAGTTATTTTACACATTTATTGTATTTTAGTGATGGTACAATATATAAATTCTATGAATCTAAAAATGTTAAATAAAGTTATTTTCAGAAAAAAGTGTATATAAATCATTTTACCTAGCATAAAACCAATTTAGATATGTTGTAAAACATCTCTTCTACTAGGCAGAACATGGTAAGTACTTAAGTTGGCTAACCAACTATATTCATACTTCTAGTAGGCTTCACAAAACATTGGACCGATGTTCATCTAAGAATACTAATTAAGTCAGCAATGGTGATGTAAACTCTATTCCTAATACAAAAATAAACCATTTGCTTTTTCGAGCCAATCATGCAGGCAGAAAATATTAGAAATCTGATTGGTTGAGTTAAACAACCAATGAACAATGATGGCTGCTATTCTATTCTAGCCTCCTGATACCAAAATCCTCATTTGCTCTTTTGAGCCAATCAAGGTGGCAGACAAAATTATAAATCTAGCTCGAGTCAACCATAATGACTCCTACTCTATTCTGGCCTCCGGATACGATATCGACCACTTTTGGCAATTTTTTGTTTTGAGGATACCAGGGTGGCAGAACTTGGTAGGAACCTTGCTAGTCGAGTCAGCAATAATGGCTCCTACTCTATTCTGGCCTCCGGATACGAAATTGGCCACTTTTCACCAAAATGGCAAATTTTTGTTTTGAGGATACCAGGGTGGCAGAACTTGGTAGGAACCTTGCTAGTCGAGTCAGCAATAATGGCTCCTACTCTATTCTGGCCTCCGGATACGAAATTGGCCACTTTTCACCAAAATGGCAAATTTTTGTTTTGAGGCTACCAGGGTGGCAGAACTTGGTAGGAACCTTGCTGGTCGAGTCAGCAATATTGGCTCCTACTCTATTCTGGCCTCCGGATACGAAATTGGCCACTTTTCACCAAAATGGCAAATTTTTGTTTTGAGGCTACCAGGGTGGCAGAACTTGGTAGGAACATTACTATCAGAGTCGACTGCTTCTCTATTCTAGCCACCAAAATCCGCCATTTGCTTTTTTGAGCCAATCAATAGGGTGGATATATTAGAATTATTCTTACTGGTTGAGACAACACCAAAATCCGCCATTTGCTTTTTTGAGCCAATCAAGAGGGTGGATATATTAGAATTATTCTTACTGGTTGAGACAACACCAAAATCCGCCATTTGCTTTTTGAGCCAATCAAGAAGGTGGATATATTAGAATTCTTACTGGTTGAGACAGCATTGGGCTGCAAGTGGATTTCCACCCTCCTGATACATTTGCTTTTTGAGCCAATCAATGTGTCTGGAAATATAAAATCTTACTGGTTGAGTCAACAATGGCTGACACTCAGTTTTTGCCCCTGATAAGAAAGTCGCCATTTGCAATTTTGTGTAAGAGGACCAGGTTGGCAGAACTTAAGTAGAAACCATATTTGTTGAGTCAACCATGATGGGGGTACAAATAAAATAAACATGATATTTTTATTACACTTTTATTTTATAGTAACAAGTTACATAGTACATACAAATATTATATTAATATTTTGAGTTATTTACATATTTTATAAAACTATTACAAGGTAGTGATCACAATTTATTTTAGTACGATGGAATGATTTCTACAGTGATATGACTGCCATGCCTGTAGTACATTACTAAGTACCGGTAACTTGCATCTTATCTTTGGCTTACAATCTGCAAAGCTGGCAGCGGAGTACAAATTAAAGTAAAAAAAAACCACATAAGTTGTGCGCTGATTCGACTAACCACTCAAAAAGAGGATTTAAAATAAACAACTAAATTTCACACAACATTAAAAATAATCAAACTTTAATATTTACAATCTAAATCTCGCTGAATATAAGGGTCGTTTTTTAAGTAGGCCTATGTGCGGTTTTTGCATATGGATCCGTAGTTTGTGTACAAGGCAATGAAGTTCCTCTCTGTATACTGGTATAGTTTGTGAACAGAATATAATCATTAGCAGTTTTGTAGGTGACGCTGTGTGTTCAGGATTTTTTTTATATTGAATCCCATTGCATGCAAGATAAAGTCAATGATACTTTTTTTAACCACAACAGAAATATTTGATGCCAACATCGCCAGATGATGAAAGGTCCCCAGTGCAAAGAAAGAGCGTTAAGTGCGTAAATGGGTTAGGATTTAGGAAGTTAAAAAATTCCTTCTGAAATTGACATTTTCACTGCCATTTTTGAACTCCCTTACCCATTTCTGCACTTCACTCATTGCACTGTGGCCATCACCCATCAGTCATCAGGTGGTGAATATCGGCATCATATATGTTTGCTGTAGTCAAAATCACGTATTATTGACCTTATCGTGAATGCAGCGGGATATTCAATAATATTTAAACAATCTTAAACCACAGCGAAGCGTACACGTCACCTACAGAGCTGCAAATGGTTCCATTCTGTTAGCAAATTTTGACAGTATACAGCAAGGACTAAGGAGCCTTGCTGTGGCGTAAATTTAATAATTGTAAATAAATAATTGTATACCCAAAAACGGCCCTTATTTATAAAACAACCCTCGTATCAATAATTTTGGTTTGGATTGGGATGGGTGTGATTTAAAAATCACATTTCTTTTAAACAGATTAGAAAACTAATAATAAAACACTATCATCACTGCTACATTGCTTAAGGACAGCGAAAAAACAGTTCATGATAAATTATTACTGTATTACTCATATTGTGATATCTTTAGTAAGGAATTAAATTATTAGGCCATAAGCATAAGTCATTCAATCAATAATTTAAACTAACTTAAAACTACAACAAAGTTAATGGACAAGTGTATCAAAATACCAAAATAATCAGTTAAAATAATCTTTAATACAGTGATATACCTGCTCGATTTTGTAAAATGTGTACATTATTGCACTTAAATCAGCACTAAAACTGGTCGGCATGATTCTAAATAATTTCATATTCACTGACATTGTTTAACAAAATATTTTAAGTGGCATTGAGATAATTGAAAAGTATAATATATCTTTTATCTGTTACATGCTAGACAGAATAAATTATTAAAGAGGTGCGGATCGATTCATTTTAAGGGGTATTTATAACAAATGTGTGATATTGACAAAAGGGTTTTGTGCACATTGTTTATATTGTATTAATCAATGTAGGAACTGAAAAGGCAGTTGTAGGCCTATATATAATTTTTTCATTAACACTACACTTATGATACAACAATTCTGATTTGTAAGCTGTATAATAATTTATTTCACCAAACCGGAGTCATGATTTTTTTATATTCAAAAAAGTCTTTACACAACTACAGTAGACTCTCACTCATCCGGATCAGCCTTGTCTGGCCTCCTGCTAGTACGGATCGGCAATTGTGAATTATTTTAGCGGCACAGTATTATAAAATAAAAACGTAACTAACTTTACGTTTCAACGCCTTCATTTATTGTGCGAGCAAGCCAACATCACATTAATGGCATACATTTTGCGGGAATTCTCATTGTTTTAGACACTCCTGTTTGTATTAGCACGTGTTTTAACAAAACTGCTCGACGTAGCGGCAAAATTTACGAACATCTGCTCGACTCTCAATAGTCCTGATTTTTTTGCAATCCGGACCACATTAGTCTGGATGAGCGAGAGTCTACTGTATCTTCTTTAAAATAATATATTTATTTTTCAGTACATGTAACTTAAATCAAACTGATAATTAAAAAAAATATATATCATGATTAAATATTTGAAAGATAAGTAATACAACTCAGCCTAATTATTACAAAATACATAATTTATTAAAAAATGTTAAATTAAGCTAATTATATCATAGATTTCCCAAAAATGAAGCATAATCAAAAATTAAACTGGAATGTCTGTCATTAATACATTTTAAAATGCAATTGATCACAAATTTTCATAACCAATTTTGTACTATTTGTGGATCTTTGAAGGATAACTTTTATAGCAGTGTCTACACAAGTGTCATGACGTTTGCTCAGAATATCATGCATTTCTTAAAACTTTTAAAATGATAAGTTTTGTATACAACCAAGTTCACACATTAATTGCAAGAAAACAACATGTTGCATTATCAATAAATCAGCACAAAAGAAACTATAGTTGCCAAATTAGTACATCAAATTAAAGCTTTTAAAAATTAAAATGGTAAAACCTTAGATTAACTAATTAGTAAATAGTGCTGTCATAAAATAATTGTCAAAAAGCTAATTATTCAATCGTATATTCCTAAAAATATATGTAAAACTAACACATTGTACAGTACTAAACTCTTGAGATACATTGTAATAAATGAGAACAGTAATATGATATCTTCACTCCATCGCAATGTGCGTTAATATTTTACAAAGACTATGAAAATATAAATATAGTAACCACCAAACAATTAATCTGTGGGCTCAACGGTTAGTTACAATTATTTTTTAACGAGTTTGATAAAAATATTTTGATTTTTGTCTTGTTCAGAATCGATTAATACTGCTTTACTTTGTCGGTGCTAAGTTCGCTTTGGAATTTTGATCCCAAAACACGGCATCTAATCTAACTAGGCAACTGTTGAACTAAATGCTAAATCAGGAACAATAAAATTGTACTGTTTCAACTTAAACACATTGTTATAGGTCTACAAAAAAGAATGGACTGGATATTTTTAAAAACAATTTTTACGTGACCTAAACCAACTACAAACAGAATGAGATGATAGTAAACTTACAAAAGGTTCCATACATTGCAACTTTGTTTTATTATGAATCGCTACTAGTGCTTTTTCCATCTGGTTTCACCGATTTTATCATTAAATTAAGACAGTGACACGAAGCTGTCTAACTTTAATAATAGTCAAGGGAGATATTACAAATTACACAACTTTAATGTGTAGATCATTGACTATTGGATGTTACAACTAGAAATTCCATCCCCATGTTAAATTTGTAGAAATTTTTTTAACCAAAATCGTTGTAGTTGATGTGAGCCGCCGACAGATTGTGCTGATCTAAATTACTGACTTCTGTCGAATACACATCTTTTTTACTAATTCAAACTAATGGAATGACTTCTTGTGAGCTATAGCAACTGTTATGACCCATCAACTTGGCCAGCAACAAAAAATAAGGTAGAAAATATAGTTTTAGTCACTAGCGCATTCTGCGATTGGCTCACACAACTACGTTCTTTTGTAATTAAAAATTGGCTACAGCTGGTCCATATAGATGGGAGGTCTACACTGAAAATGACATCCCATCTATATGGACCAGCTGTCCCAAATTTTCTTTTAAAGAGCATAGTTGTGTGAGCCAGTCACAGAGAGCACTAGTGTCTAAAATTATATTTTCTACCTTATTTTTTGTTGCTGACAAAGTTTATAGGTCCATAACAGTTGCTATAGCTCATAATAAGTCATTCGATTAGTTTGACTTGCTAAAAAAGTTTGTGTATTTGACAGAAGTTAGTTGATTAACAAACTTGTGACAATTTTAACATGGGAATTGAATATGTATAATTGCATCAATAGTGAAAGGTGAAATTTAGTAGGTAGTTTCTCTTCAGACCAGCTGTTTCTTTTACCAGGATTATTTATAAAACCACAATGACCAAGAACAGCTGGGTCCAGATTTGAATCACCAAAACCTACTGTACTGATGATTCACAAGATCAAAATGGACAATCAAATAGAACCTATTATATAGGGCTATTTTAGTTTCACTGAAAGTTTTAAACGTAAAACTGTGTAATATCATCTGTCTGAAATTTTTGTTTCAGTAACTTGAATTGTAATGATTTTTCAGAGTCTATTATATCATACGGCAAAATTTCATAAAATTTACACAGAAAAAAAAAACACTTTCTGCCATTGATTGTTTAGAAAACTAAGACAACTTGTCTTTACCTAAGTTTCAATTGCTAACAGAACTGCATTTCACTCTAGCAAAAATATATGAAACAAAGTTGCAACAAATTGAATATTTCAACTGTTGTTGCTGTTTTACATATCATATAGTGTATATAGTCCCAGTAATTAGACCAACTTCTACTCCATGTACTTTTGGTTACTTGGAACGCTACCGTACTCACTTTGGTCGGTGTCACTTCACATCTTACCTTGGGTGTTCAGCCCAGTGGAGGATTGTTTGGGTCAACTCCGCCTGGCGCAGGCACCTGACAGGTGGTGGAGACAGGTGGCGGCGACTCAGATGAACCTCAACTCAGGCCGATCGCACACAATTTTTACGATCAACGTGAATATCAAGGAGAACGCTGTAGCTGGCAAAGATGATGTACTGCGATGTGGCAAACTCCACCTCGTGGATTTGGCTGGAAGTGAAAACGTGTCCAAGTCTGGAGCCAGCGAAAACATACACAAATCTGCAACGGGGGTTGACAAGAGACTTGCCGAGGCTTCAAATATAAACAAGTCTCTGTTGACGTTGAGCCGAGTCATAACATGCTTGACGGAAAACAACCCACACATTCCTTACAGAGAGTCAAAACTGACAAGGTTTTTACAAGACTCGCTTGGTGGCAAGACTAAGACCTGCATCATCGGAACAATCTCTCCAGCGCAGGCCAACCTGGATGAAACGGAGAGCACACTGAACTATGCTTCTAAGGCGAGATCCATCAAGAACAAGCCAGTGAGAAACCAGACCATCTCCAAGAAGGACTTTATGCAGGTTGCGTCTGAAGAAATAATGAAGCTCAAAAAAGACCTGGAAGCAGTCAGGCAAGGAGAGGGGTTCTATATCTCTAAAGAGTCTCATGAAGAAATGATAAGCCGAATGAAAGAGCTGGACGACCAAGTGAAAGACTGGCATGAAAAATATTCACGCATCAAAGAGTCGTACGAACAATCACAGGAAATGTTCAGTTCCTTAAGCTCCGACTTTGACGACAAGTGTGCTGAATATGAAGAGCTTGATAATCTGTTCAGAATCGAAAGCCAAAGATGTCAAGAGAAGATGAAAGAATTCGCAAAGGAAGTTGTTGTCAGAGAATATTTCATCAAAGAATATGAAAAGACCGAAGGCAGTCTGACAGAGCAAGCAAAAACTTGCAAGTCTGTGCTGGAAAACCTTTTAGACCAGAGCAATCGCTTGCACGACAAAATTGATAGAAAGCAGTCTAACGAGGCAGACAACCTGCAGATGTTGTGTCGCTACAAGGAAGATGCCAGCAAGAAGGTTGCGGATTTCAAAAGCAAGCTTGATTCGTTTCTTGATGAAAAAAAGCAGTTTGTGAAAGAAGTTTTTAAAAATGCCAGCACTGTGAACAGATTATTTGAAGAAGAGAACCATAATGTTTTATCAACCATTAAATCTTTTAAAACCAGATGAAAGCCCTTGCACAGTCAATGAATGAAACACTTCACAATAAGCAAACAGAGTTTACTGGTCAAGTCAATTCTTGCAAGTCACGAGGGGATGAAATAATACAACACTCGGTAAACCTTTACAAAGACGTGATCAAGTCACATATTCTGCCCTCGATGAAGAACATTCAAGATCAGCTGAATCTCATCACCAAAGTCATTGAAGAGGGAAGCAATAATCTCGCCAACTTCATATTGATGTTATTTGGTCCAGGATCACTTCTTGAATATTAAAATGGTATAAAATTACCTGTTTCCGTCTGTAATCCTATATTTGTTTTAGAGAAAACCGGTGTCAGCAAAGTGTCAGTAGAGGTATTTTTCGCTGAACTGATCGACAAAGAAGTTGATTATAATCGGTTTAGCAACAATTTCTTGATTTTGACGTCTTATAGCTTTAACTTCATCAACAATTTGAGTGGAAAACTGCATCAACGACGCATGGTGGTCCGTGATTTCAGAGATAAGCTTCTTTTGTTTGGTTTCAAACTTGGCGAGATTATTAAAATGGTATAAAATTACCTGTTTCCGTCTGTGATCCTATATTTGTTGTATAGAGCAACCGGTTTCAAGGTTATAACCTCATCTTCAGGCTCTTGTTGTCACTCTTGCGAGATCGTCGAGTTTTATAAACACACAAAAACACTAACATTGAAATAAATAAACACGAGACATTGACAGACGAAGACGATTAACATAAATTCGGGAACTAGTTCCCAGGATCCAAGTGGATCCAGGAACAACAGTGGATCCAGTTGGATCCCAGGATCCAACAACTAGTTCCCGAATTTATGTTAATCGTCTTCGTCTGTCAATGTCTCGTGTTTAGTTATTTCAATGTTAGTGTTTTTGTGTGTTTATAAAACTCAACGATCTCGCAAGAGTGACAACAAGAGCCTGAAGATGAGGTTATAACCTTGAAACCAGTTGCTCTATACAACAAATATAGGATCACAGACGGAAACAGGTAATTTTATACCAATTTAATAATCTCGCCAAGTTTGAAACCAAACAAAAGAAGCTTATCTCTGAAATCACGGAGAACCATGCGTCGTTGATGCAGATTTCCACTCAAATTGTTGATGAAGTTAAAGCTATAAGACGTCAAAATCAAGAAGTTGTTGCTAAACCGATTATAATCAACAACTTTGTCGAGCAGCTCAGCGAAAAATACCTCTACTGACACTGGACACTTTGCCACGCAGCCAGTAAAAAATCCTACACTGGGCTGAACACCCTAATGACATAACACCTATAATAATAACACCTCATGACAAAACGTTTGCCCGTGCCGCGTCGTGTGTGGAACTAGTTCCCGAATTTATGTTAATCGTCTTCGTCTGTCAATGTCTCGTGTTTATTTATTTCAATGTTAGTGTTTTTGTGTGTTTATAAAACTCGACGATCTCGCAAGAGTGACAACAAGAGCCTGAAGATGAGGTTATAACCTTGAAACCGGTTGCTCTATACAACAAATATAGGATCACAGACGGAAACAGGTAATTTTATACCATTTTAATTTTATGTTCGGGTCAAGTCCGCCTGGCGCAGGCACCTGACAGGTGGTGGAGACAGGTGGCGGCGACTCAGATGAACCTCAACTCAGGCCGATCGCACACAATTTTTACGATCAACGTGAATATCAAGGAGAACGCTGTAGCTGGCAAAGATGATGTACTGCGATGTGGCAAACTCCACCTCGTGGATTTGGCTGGAAGTGAAAACGTGTCCAAGTCTGGAGCCAGCGAAAACATACACAAATCTGCAACGGGGGTTGACAAGAGACTTGCCGAGGCTTCAAATATAAACAAGTCTCTGTTGACGTTGGGCCGAGTCATAACATGCTTGACGGAAAACAACCCACACATTCCTTACAGAGAGTCAAAACTGACAAAGTTTTTACAAGACTCGCTTGGTGGCAAGACTAAGACCTGCATCATCGGAACAATCTCTCCAGCGCAGGCCAACCTGGATGAAACGGAGAGCACACTGAACTATGCTTCTAAGGCGAGATCCATCAAGAACAAGCCAGTGAGAAACCAGACCATCTCCAAGAAGGACTTTATGCAGGTTGCGTCTGAAGAAATAATGAAGCTCAAAAAAGACCTGGAAGCAGTCAGGCAAGGAGAGGGGTTCTATATCTCTAAAGAGTCTCATGAAGAAATGATAAGCCGAATGAAAGAGCTGGACGACCAAGTGAAAGACTGGCATGAAAAATATTCACGCATCAAAGAGTCGTACGAACAATCACAGGAAATGTTCAGTTCCTTAAGCTCCGACTTTGACGACAAGTGTGCTGAATATGAAGAGCTTGATAATCTGTTCAGAATCGAAAGCCAAAGATGTCAAGAGAAGATGAAAGAATTCGCAAAGGAAGTTGTTGTCAGAGAATATTTCATCAAAGAATATGAAAAGACCGAAGGCAGTCTGACAGAGCAAGCAAAAACTTGCAAGTCTGTGCTGGAAAACCTTTTAGACCAGAGCAATCGCTTGCACGACAAAATTGATAGAAAGCAGTCTAACGAGGCAGACAACCTGCAGATGTTGTGTCGCTACAAGGAAAATGCCAGCAAGAAGGTTGCGGATTTCAAAAGCAAGCTTGATTCGTTTCTTGATGAAAAAAAGCAGTTTGTGAAAGAAGTTTTTAAAAATGCCAGCACTGTGAACAGATTATTTGAAGAAGAGAACCATAATGTTTTATCAACCATTAAATCTTTTAAAACCAGATGAAAGCCCTTGCACAGTCAATGAATGAAACACTTCACAATAAGCAAACAGAGTTTACTGGTCAAGTCAATTCTTGCAAGTCACGAGGGGATGAAATAATACAACACTCGGTAAACCTTTACAAAGACGTGATCAAGTCACATATTCTGCCCTCGATGAAGAACATTCAAGATCAGCTGAATCTCATCACCAAAGTCATAAGAGGGAAGCAATAATCTCGCCAACTTCATATTGATGTTATTTGGTCCAGGATCACTTCTTGAATATTAAAATGGTATAAAATTACCTGTTTCCGTCTGTGATCCTATATTTGTTTTAGAGAACAACCGGTGTCAGCAAAGTGTCAGTAGAGGTATTTTTCGCTGAACTGATCGACAAAGAAGTTGATTATAATCGGTTTAGCAACAATTTCTTGATTTTGACGTCTTATAGCTTTAACTTCATCAACAATTTGAGGAATAACAGGTATAACTAGTTCCCAGGATCCAAGTGGATCCAGGAACAACAGTGGATCCAGTTGGATCCCAGGATCCAACAACTAGTTCCTAATTTATGTTAATCGTCTTCGTCTGTCAATGTCTCGTGTTTAGTTATTTCAATGTTAGTGTTTTTGTGTGTTTATAAAACTCAACGATCTCGCAAGAGTGACAACAAGAGCCTGAAGATGAGGTTATAACCTTGAAACCAGTTGCTCTATACAACAAATATAGGATCACAGACGGAAACAGGTAATTTTATACCAATTTAATAATCTCGCCAAGTTTGAAACCAAACAAAAGAAGCTTATCTCTGAAATCACGGAGAACCATGCGTCGTTGATGCAGATTTCCACTCAAATTGTTGATGAAGTTAAAGCTATAAGACGTCAAAATCAAGAAGTTGTTGCTAAACCGATTATAATCAACAACTTTGTCGAGCAGCTCAGCGAAAAATACCTCTACTGACACTGGACACTTTGCCACGCAGCCAGTAAAAAATCCTACACTGGGCTGAACACCCTAATGACATAACACCTATAATAATAACACCTCATGACAAAACGTTTGCCCGTGCCGCGTCGTGTGTGGAACTAGTTCCCGAATTGATGTTAATCGTCTTCGTCTGTCAATGTCTCGTGTTTATTTATTTCAATGTTAGTGTTTTTGTGTGTTTATAAAACTCGACGATCTCGCAAGAGTGACAACAAGAGCCTGAAGATGAGGTTATAACCTTGAAACCGGTTGCTCTATACAACAAATATAGGATCACAGACGGAAACAGGTAATTTTATACCATTTTAATAGTCTCGCCAAGTTTGAAACCAAACAAAAGAAGCTTATCTCTGAAATCACGGACCACCATGCGTCGTTGATGCAGTTTTCCACTCAAATTGTTGATGAAGTTAAAGCTATAAGACGTCAAAATCAAGAAGTTGTTGCTAAACCGATTATAATCAACAACTTTGTCGATCAGTTCAGCGAAAAATACCTCTACTGACACTGGACACTTTGCCACGCAGCCAGTAAACAATCCTACACTGGGCTGAACACCCTAGGTTTGATCCTAATTTTGATGTGAAGTAACTCCGACCAAAGTGAGTAGTTGTACTATACTAGTTGTATTAGTTGTAGAGTAGTTGCATTGTTGTACTATATGATATGTACAACAGTTGCCATAAAGTAAAAAACTATATTATTGAAATTCAAAATTAGACACAAGTTAAAAATACATTCTAGAACCTTTACACCCCTACACATCCCTTTCCCAGGTACTTTATGACCTAGTCTATCCATTTCTAATCTATTTCTATCACTGAAACAATCCTAAGTGAACATTCCTAGCCTCTACGAGTTGAATGGAAGAATTTACATGAAGACAATATTTTTATCCTTCACTATTACACAAGAGAAAATGTTTTGTAAACAGTATCACAGGCTAAACTGATTACTTTGTAATCTAAATAGGTTTTGTAACAATTAGTTTCCAATTTCTGTTTTCGTGGTTCTCTATGAATAAGTGAGCCAAATCGTTAAGACTGAAAATCCTGTTACTATATCTCGAGTTGAATGAAAGCGGTTTTTTTTTTTAAAATCATTACAATAATATTTAGCACCAAATCTTATACCATCGGTTTTAACCAACTACAATTTTCTAAAACCACTTAAACTATTTTTACAAATTTGAAACATTCTAATCCTTTCTAAAAGATCTTTGAAATGTACAAAACATAAATTGACATCCACTTCTGACATTTCCTTCACAATGGGGGTTTATAGTTAATATTTTGTGTTCCTAATTTAGCTACAGTTGAGCTGAAATGGTTGTTGTTTAGATGATAAATATCTGATCGTGATGCCTCAGTACAAAGTCAGTAAACACGTTGATTGGAGCTATCGCAGACAGTGACAGCTGTCCGGACTGAGACCACACTAAGTTGGGTCCAAAGACCACAGCCAGGTTGGAAGACGTCATTTTGTTTAGGTCACACCTGTCCATCACCTGTAAAAATAATTGTCCGTCAAAAAACAGCTATAAAGGTTACATTGACTATTAAATACTGAAGAAGACATCTCATCTATATGGACAGCTGTGCATCTAGAAACATTTTTTTAATGAACGAATCTCCCGTCGCACGCTAGATAGGTCAGTGATACGATTTTTGACCACAATAAACATATCCATGCCGACATTCATCACCAGATGACTGAAGGTTATAGCCTCATTCATTGAATGCGTAAGGGTAAAGTGCAGAAATGGGTTAGTGAGTGTAAAAATGGCCGTCAAAAACTTTTCCTTGGTGGTCTTTTGTGAGAAGTCTGGGTACTCACCAAACACCCAATTTCTTGCAAAATTGACATTTTCACAGCCATTTTTGAACTCCCTAACCCATTTCTGCACTTTACCCTCACTCATTGCATTAGGGTCATTACCTTCAGTCATCTGGCCATGAATATCGGCATCAGATAATTAATTATGTTTCTCGTGTTAAAAAAAAAAAACATCTCACATGCAGCAGGAGATTCGATAATTTATCAAATTTTCTTATCACACAGCGAAGTGTACACATCGCCCACAGAACTACAAATGGTGCCATTCTATTTACCAATGGTGCCAGTAAGCAGGAAGCAGCCTAGCTGTTGTGAACACGGAAATTACGGAGCTATATGTAAAAACAGACCTTACTTAAAAAACGCCCCTCATACATTCAACGATAATTGAGCATCCAACAGTGCAAACTATCATTTGCACGGCAGCACAGCTAAATTCTTAACTATCAAACATTAAATTTTGTAGCACAGGTTAGAAAGATTTTATTGACAACTTAAAACGTTAAATTAGAGGCAAGTAACTTGCCATATAAATCTGCTGAAATTCTGTTAAAAAACTCAGGTAAGTTAAGTTTGACATCTCACCTTTGACAGAAACCGCACTATGTACTTCAACACTTGGTAGTTGTCTTCTGGTAATTTTTCTAGGATTAGAATTTTAACATGTCTTGGTCTCTCATCATTTGGCACACCTGAAACAATCAACAAACAAATCTAAAAAACACATCTTATTATTGAAAATTCTGAAAAATAGGCTGGGGTTTGACAATGCTTCTTATTTCTGCCTGCAGTAAGTTTTTATTTCAATAATGATTTTTCAAGTTTCAAGTTTTTTTAATGTTTCCTTCAAAACTTTTTTGAGGGTTAGGTAGGATAGTTTTCCTTTAGTGATAACTGGGACCATGGCGTCGTACCTAAGTAATCTAGCTACTTGGAGGTCACAAATTGTGGATAAATAGGGATGATCTGTGGATGCCATACTCCCTGGTGTGGATTAACGTCCACACTAGTGAGTACTACGACTATCCCCAGTACTATCCTGATATTTAGACCAATTCAGAAATTAGTCAGGTTCAGGCCTTAGTCAGTAACAAGACTATCAGATCGCGCCACTCATCTTCATCATACTTGGCTTAAAATACCTACTTTCGTATGGTCGCCATTTCAATTAAAAGTATTAAAGATATTGAAATGAGAAGCACCTGTGGTGAAGAACACAATGGACCCTAACCAGACTATTAAGGATTTTTGGGAAATTTGATACTAAATTTATAATGTATACAAGAAAACATAATAATCGTTAACAGACCGTGATGCCATTTGTCATTGGGCTACCATTAATTGATTATGATAGATCCCTTTCAAAATGTTGAAAAATGCCACTGGCATTAATAAGCAAAAAAAAATAATGAACTAAATAAATAATCAATAAATATCTTAACAATCTGCTTACTTTGAAACTGAGTGATTTCATCATACAGATCAAAGGTCATGATAGGTTCCTCCAGCTCTCGCAGGAAAGTCTTCAGAAGAACAGCTGCAATGTGGACATCACCGTTGAACTCTATCGGCTGACCTTGATTGACCTTGGCCTGCAACTCCTTCACTTTGCTGACATTGGCCGACCTTCGGAACAAACCTTCCGTCTCCAAGGCTGCAACAAGTGAAACCCATTAGTTTGGAAAATATTGTAAGCTTATTAATCAACTGATAGTTTAGTTTTACAGATTTTATTGAGGATAGCACGGTTACCTGAATTTAGAGTCCAAACTGGCACAATGAAGACAAAGCTTTACACTATAGCCTACAGAAAACATGAGAATATTCCACTGTCAGTGACAGCATTTTTTACCAAGGAAGAGTTTTCTTCTGGCCTAACCAGGAATGGATTAGGAATTAAGAAAACTCTCTCCTCCTGAGTTAAAAATGTGGTTAGTGACGATGAAATGATGCTAATGTTTTGTGTGTGTATATAGTGTACAGTTGTGTGTTTATTGTGCCAGTTTGGACACTTTCCCATTCAGTTATCTAAGCTACTATCCTCACTAAAAATCCAGACAACCTTCTGCTCTGTTACATACTCAATAAATTAATTTGCTTGTATGTAGTTTTTTTGGGTGGGAAGGTGTGCAAATGTATCGGATTTAAAGTTAACTGAGTTTTGTTTCAATAGTAAAAACTTGTCAATGATATATGGGACAAAGTCAACAAATAGAAGCAAGAGAAAAAGGTTAGATAAGATGAATGAGAAGATAAGAAATTCACATGGTGTTAAAATTCAGTTTCAAAAGCTGACAAACTATTTCTCAACTGTAGGTACAAATTACAATGATTTAAAAAAGACTTGGGTACCGGTATTTCAAACGATGGAGGATCGCACTTTTCAAAAGTTGAATTCTTACATCCCTAATATAAATAGGTCAACATGGGATAATCAATCAGGCAATATTTTGAATATGTGTGACCAAGCATTATAACTAGAAAGCAACATTTTACCAGAATACAGAATGTAGAACTCAAGACGCAGAAAACGGAAAAAGTATGTGATGAAGACAGTTCTCACTTACCGTAGGCCTACCACCAGAGATATGTGTTTTAAAATAATAGGATGAATAATACTTTTGCCAAAATGTCGCCTAATAATCCCTATTGGTAATAGATTACTGAGAATACCCTTTTATTTTTTAAACATCATCTAAATCGTTAGAACAAGCGAGTAAAATGACGCTCATTGCACCTTCCTATTAACAGAAATCCAAAACGTGCTGGACGAGGTCGAATAGGCGACAAAAATAATAGTCAGTGAAAGTAAGGCACATTCCTGGTTATAATCGCAAAGTAGAAGTACTTACCATCAGGAGTGCTGAGATACTCCACACACTGTCTGACCAGGGGAGGTATGACTTCTCTGTCATGATTCTCCTTGATAAACTGTAGAGAGACTCCGAACTGTTGTGTTGGTAGTGGTGGAGGAGACTGTGTTGTTGCTGGAGTGGGAGATACGCTGCTCAGTCTGCTGTTCTTGGCCATCAGCCTCTCATCATGCCTGTGACATACAACAAACAACTCAACATAACAAGTCAAACAAACTAGGTATTTTTGGAATTACTGGGTAATAGACAGAAACATATTTGTGGTGAAGTTTCGGCCTACCTCAGTAGAGGTTTGCAGCTCCCCGATATTTTTGGGGTCGGGTCAACAGTTTGTCGGAGGGGTCGGTTTGGGCCGAAAATAATTGTTGCCCCAAGCTCAGTTGTGTAGAGCCAAGCCCAAGATTTATTTTTGCTATTTCAGAAAGAGTATCGAAAATGCATTATTATGCCAAGATCAAGGGTGATGTTCATGGTTTTGCCACGATGGTGATAACACTGTAACTGCAAAAGATGTTCAAGATTTCACTGTGACCAGAGAAGATGTTTTTGATTTTCCTGTGACCGCATAAAATCAACTAAATCAAATTGAAGGAGTTCAAATCCAATTGAATCTAAATTTACTTTATTTAGTTTCCAATAAACAATTTATAGGCATTTTACAATTATTACATGCACAACTTAGACTGCAATTACAAAAATAGAAACTAACTAAATTAAAACCACAAGGGATAACCCGTGCGTGGGAGTGAGTTGTTTAGTGTTGTATACAGTTAAATTAAAAGTGTTATTAGTTATTTATGTTTCAAGATTAACCCTCCCAGTGTTACTTGACGAAAATTCGACAAGCAGCACACTTTGTGTAGTGTTACTTGTCGATTTTTCGACACGCAGACATCGTTTACGGCGAAGGCTCTATGACTGACTGAATCGGATTGAACTGGATCGAGTTAGGTATCGTTCTTTCCGTAATATTCTAAGCTTTCTCCAGAGGTCTGTCTCTAAGCGCTATTCATTTTAGTTCCGAAAATATTGTAGCAGACAGCTGACGTGCGTGTATTTGTAAACAGCTAGGTTCCCCCGGACCGATGACTGATGTGTTTTATTACGTTTATCATTGTTTTAGTGTTAAAAATCAAAAGTAGTGATATACGTGGTGCATTATAAGAAGATTTAAGTGGTTTTGAAGTGCTGGTTGATGATCCTGAAGAAGTAGGTAGTGATATTGATGTAAATTATCAGCCAGATTCCTAGCTATGGTTAGGCTATGCATTCTTAGCTAAACGCTATGTACTGAAATCAGTTTTTTGCCCATAACTTATTTATTTGCAAATCTACTTCCTTATATTATTATATATTTGTAATCCTCATAAAATTTAGAACAAAGTGGCTATTTTCAAATATTTATAGGCCTATAATTTATACAATTTCATTGAGCGCGAACTTATTTTTTTTTTGAAAATTTTCGAAATTATATTTTTTTTACCTAAAAATTTTTTTTTTTGAAAAAATGTTCCTTATGTTTTATATATAATATTGAAGCCCATGATTTTCCAAACAAAATGGTATATAGAACATTAGAATTAACATTGTTTTAAGCTTCTCAGATCCGTTTTAATAAAACCTTGCAAATGCGCCAAAAATAGGTGGACATTAAGGCCTAAACTATGGACACTTGGAGGGTTAATTGGTTATTTATTTACTATCCTTCAAAGTGAAAAAAGTATGTTTTATTGAAATTTTAGTGGACAATGGCAGAATAATCACTGTTGTTTACCAACCAAAAACTTAAACTTAAAATTTAACTTTTCAGTGTTGTGAGCTGGTTTATGGATTAAGACAAGTCTAAGACCTTTTCATGCCCCAATCAATAGTGACTACCTATTCAAATTTTAATTGTGTCAAACCTATTGGATTAGATTCTTTATCTAAAAAAAATAGCTACCTAATGACTCTAAAAATCAACAAAAATCACTTTCACCAACGTTTCAGCTTTAATAAAGAGTGTCATCTTCATGCACAACATTATATCCACATAGTTGAATATAAACAGATAATTATTTATCAACAAAACCAGACTATGTTTTCGAGTTTTGATGCAAAATCATTGGATGTAATCAAAACATAAATTTGTTAACGTTCATGTTCTAATCCAGATGTCACTAGTAATAATGAACAAATCTTAAAAGGCTTACAGAATAAATGCTGAACCTGGTAATTTGTCATTGGACTAATTAATAATTATGCTTTCTCAAGCTAGGTTGACCACGGTCTGGACATTTCCTTTTCAAACAAAAAATCTAGCAAAGTATCATATGCAAGAAATGTGCCTTTGCTGCAACATTATTGGTGACTTGTAAGTTGGTAGGCCTACCAATTCAAAATTATGAATTAACTACCATTAACATAAGACAAAAAACTAACATACTTACTCTAGCACAGGCTGAGGTATACTGATTTGGTCCAAATTTAGGTACTGACTTAGCTCATTAAGGCAATTAACATACATCATCTTGCGTCCAAACTTGACACTGAAAATTAAATTAAGACCATTAAAAATTTTTGTTTGCAACTCTTAGTGAACCACTATTGAAATGGCAACCATACAAAATAGGTATTTTAAGCCAAGTATGAATGGAGATGAGTGGCACGATATTGTAGCTTTTGTTAGTGACTAAGGCTCACATATTTTTTAGACACAGCTGTTAATTAATAGGCTAGCCCATACAGCTAATGGCAACCTTGGGCCTAGAGTTTGTAGTGGAATACGAACCACGTTTTTACCTTGGTACTGGTGGACATACCATGTTAAATTAACAAGGGCCCCTCTACCTAACTAGCCTATCTTGGATTTGTTTGATTTTAGCACACTAGAAAACAGTTTTTTTCCTTTGCATAATTTTAATTAAAAACTGTACAAAAGTGTCAAAATGTTGAATTTTTTCCTAAAGGAAACGTTATTATAGGTACTTTAAACTTAAGAATTTATTGTCTCGTCCAATAATAATTGTTTTGCAATAACAAATAAATGTACCAACCTTATAACAGCTCTAAATATTCTCCAAATAATACGGATGAAATTGGTCGGGTGTACGAGGTACAAGGCTTTCAGATTCTTCTTGTACTTGCGGTCGAAGGCGCAATAAGCTTGCCACATCCAGGATATGGTAGGTTTGTTCTTGCTGGTCAGTCCGTGGTGGAAGTACACTAGACTGTAGTCCTGCTCCACAAACTTGTCCAGTGTGTACATCAAGTACCTGGAAACATGATCAAACAATCTTCATTAAACCTTTTAGTTCCAAATGCAGATCTATCAGACATCATGCAAGTAGTGTGACTTAACTTTAATTTACATGTGATTTTTATTGTCATTTAGATGTTTATTAATTTGTATCTATGTCCAATCTATGTAATTTATGTTGAAATCAAAAACCTTTGATACTATGTTGTTTTTATAAAGACTAGAAAAGTTTTATTTGCATAAATGGGTTTAATCTTTGACTAAGGGCTTGACTTCAATGATTAGTAGTCATCTCATTCCCATTTTAAACTGTGGATAGTGGTTTATAAGATTAAAATAGATGTACGGTAGAGTGAGAGTAAAAAATCCTAACGTCACAAACTCAAACCGTTTTTGAGGGGTTTAAAGTATTGAACTAGCACAGAGACAACAGATGTTTTACGACCATATAGTCGGCGCTCGACAGGGAAATGAGTGAACGAGCCGAGCCAGTTGGTGTTTTGTTCGTTTCCAATGTACAAACTCTATATATTTTTCAAGAAACTAATAACAGTAATGTAACAAAAATACCTAAGTAGGCCTATGTACAAAAATAATTGTTTTTATTTCCATTCATTGTATCCTAGAACTGTATTTTTAATACTGTAGGCCTAATTATGTGTCTATTAGGAGCATTTCTAGGCTTGTTTGAAAATCTGAACGAATCGGTAATCTGAATTACCTACGGTCACAATTGGTTTGGATTTTTGACGTTCTACTATGTTCTACGTTCTATAGTTCAATTAAGCCAACAGAGTAAGCTGACGTCAATTATTGGTTTCTTTTGAATACTTAAGTCAATTTATGAAAAAGCCAAATTTAAACCAAACCTTATTGTAGGCTAAAAGTGTCTTTTAGCCTATGCCACAACGAACACCACTGTTTCAGAAAACTAGAGAAACAGTGTTAATTTTGACAGCAAACTCTGTAGCTAGATTCAACTGTGTTCATCTACATAAATAAAAGTCTTATTTTCTTGTTATTGAGGCTCTACTGTAGTTTGTCTATGTATACATGTACCCTACCTAAGTAATCTCTGATGGTCCAGCTCCTTGTTGCTGGGCAGACGACAGGCCGACACCACAATGACTCTCCGTCCCGCAGTATCATCCCCCATAACCTCCACGATGCCGTACATCGACACATCGCTGAAGTCTTCTTCTTCCTCCTCCTCATCGACATAAGGATAAGACAGACTATCGAATGCCCTCGTCGGAGCATTCAACAACTCTGCCTCAAAGTTGTCCTCGATGGTTCCGTCCGACACGGGTGACTCCAGATAGTCCAGACCTCCACCCAGCGACAGTATGTCATCTTGTAACAGTTCTGGAACAAGAGAGTGGGAAAAATGTGAGATTAGGCCTATTGATGTTCGTTTTAAAAACAGTGAGCCAATAAACACATTAAATGACCGAAACATACATTAATCTTCCTGGATTAAGTTAAAGCTTCCCCAGTAACTTATTGTAGAATCAGTGTCTTCTGGCAACGACTGTTAAACTATACTGATAGTTGGAAAACCACTGACCTAAACTACAGGCTAATAGATTATATTAACAGAAAACAATCTTATTCTGTGTCATGTTAAAAGTATGATTCCCTTACCTGGAGCTCCTGCCGTGTGTTGTAGTTCCGTGTCATCAAACTCCAAATTGGGTTCGTAATCATGACAGTCGGACAGGCTTGGGTAAGGATCTTCATTGTCATTGTGCACTCCAGCTGGAAAATACCAAGAGTCTATAACTGTAATTCTGACCACTGAATGTCACATGTGACACAAGCATTAACTGTAAAACCTTCATTTGTACTGTTTCTGTTATATTTAAATATGTTAGTCTATATAGGCCTAACTAACTTTTTAATTTTAAATTAACTACCTTTTATATTAGCCGATCGACAAAAAATAATACGGATAACATTTTTAAATCACAGCCATTAAAAAACTGCATGAAAATCGTCTGATAATTTGTAACAGCTGTTGCGTCCAAACTCTCACCACAACCAATGCTGACCAAAGTGCAGCATGTAAATGTATTTATGAAGTACAGTTTAAAATAAAATGGAAAGTGGTGTGGTTTTCAGTTCATAATAATGGTAATTTATTTTGTATCAAAGACAAAAACTGCCAATTTTTAGGCCCGGTTTCCCCAACTCATTTAAAGTTAGTTTTAAGTTAAACGGTGATTTAAACTTAGTTTAACTTTGATTTGTGTTTCTCCAAATTTAAACTAGGTATTAATCTATGTTCAAACTTAAACCACCTCTCGACTTGGTTTAACTACTGGAGATAAAATAAACTGAGTTCAAATTAGTAAATTACAACAGTAACATAACCTCAAATAATTCCAAAACAATAGGTAGGTTAATAATTGAAGCATCAACAAATTTATTTAGACAAAAATAGGCTTGGCTTAGGGCTAGCTTATATAGTAATGACCTATAATTAAGTTATGTTTTATTTATATTTTAATTTATTTTGTTTATTAAGTTCTTTTTATTTGTAAATTTATTTTTTTGCAAGTTAGGCTACTATTAATTGCAGTATTTGCCTTAACTCAAATGGAAGAGTTAATTGACATTTTCGAAGAAGTTGAATATAAAGATTATAACACTTTGATACCAAGAACAAGAGGGCCTACTAAAATAAGGGACAGAATTCTTCTTGTTGTAAAAGAAAAATCAACTTTATAACATAACCTTAAACAGTGATGTTATTCTAGCAGCATTCGCACTTTGCTCGTCTGCTCTACTGAGTTGTGGCGTAGCGTAGCGAGCGTTGTAAGAAACATTAGCCCAAAGCCCACCAAAGATTCTTTACAAAACAGGTTAAAAACAGTACGATGATAAAATATTCTCATTTAGTATAAAGATTGCAGGCATTTCACTTCTCGGTTGTATCTTTCAATTCATATGTAAATAAGAGTTGAATAGAACTCCAACTCATCCTAACTTGCTTTTCCTCTCTAGCAAAATGTGTCTACAAATAAGCAAGTGTATATTCATCACACTACATCCTTCAATTCATTTAGTGATAAACATCCTGGTTTTATTTAGCCATTATTGTTTTGTTTGACTAGGTAATTATGTTCTGAGAGCTTACGGAATAGCCTTACGTTTCAGATGATCCTCAATTGCTAACGTTTCCTTGATATGCCAGTCAAAAGATTTTTGGATTCATCGAAACAAATCGTTAATACTTATGCCTGGTAAGAGTAAGCGTACCTACTCATGAAAACAACTCAGTAAGTAGGGTAGTAGGCCTAATCGCCTGCTTGCTAGATTTACACAAAAATCGCAGCTGACACAAAACGCTGTGCTAGGTAGTTTTGTAAAACTTTATCTGTATCATGATCACAATTCATTATCACTACCCTAACTGTGCTACTAAATCATTTCCTCATCATGGAAATCAAAACGATAAAATAAGTCACCTTAGTTAATATTCGTAGCCTCGGAGACATTTTTGTACTGTTATTTCCTAGTAAAAAGTGAGTCTTCTACTTTAATCACTTAGAATTAACGTAATAGGCTAGGAACTATCTGGTGAGAAAATTTCGTAGGCTGACAAATAGGTTACCTACGTCAATAAAACAAAGTAAATAAAACTTCAAACAGTTGTAACTCCGTTAATACTAAACATTTTTGCAACTTTTTTGTCAGCTAAAAATCTAGTTTCTGGTGATGTATAGCAATATAAGTTAGGTTCCCAAGGCCACATTAGTCGCAATAAATACCATGTATTCTGTTTAGTTTATTTCGGCTTAACTTACGGTAACTTTAAAAATGTAATTTTTAACTAAGTGGAAATTAGGTATAGGCTAGTTATATGTTCAAAAAATTGTAAAAATTGAACGCATAGTCACACCAAATGTGGGTGGAAGACCGCAACATAACCGAGGAAGACGACGAATTATTTTAACCTTACTTAAGGAATCATCATTCAGACGTCTGGATTCCTTATAGCCTAATTATAGAGGTCGACGTGAGACATGGCCAATTTTTGAGCCAACATTTCAATAATAAGTTACACAACCGTTTCATCTTGGCCCAATGAATTTCAGATGTGTGTAGGCCTACCTACTTTTTTATGGATTATTTTTATCCTAAAACTTTGTCATGAATTAGTTTTATTCTAAAACTAACTTATGTCATTGATTATGGAAATAATAAAAAAATATTCTAAAATCATTGCTTTAACTTATTAACCCTGCTCTGCTTTCGATTTAGTGTCTAAGCTATGAAAATGTTATTGATAAGATTTTTATGTAAACAGTAGGATAATTACGATGTAGATGATACCTTTTAGTAAGTTACAAATTTTGTGGTTTTTTGTTTATAAATTTGGACTAGCCTAGCCTACTTAGTTAACAAGTGTTTGGTATAGTACATCTTTCCATTGCGAAGCACAGGTAAAACTTGACAGTAAGGGTACCAACACAATAGATCTAACATCGCTAGGCCTATATAACTTAGCTTTAACTTACTTACCAATACTGTAGGCCTAAGTTATCATACAGTGGGCCTATTCTATGACTGAATATTAATTTACAACCAATAACTTAAAGTAGAGTCTTTGAGTATTTATGAAAGATTATATGGATCAGATTGGGCACACTTCCATATCTGTTGGCATAAACAACCAAATGAGTAATATTGATTAGTCGATTGTTTAATTTAACCCTCCGAGTGTCCATAGTTTAGGCCTTAATGTCCGCCTATTTTTGGCGCATTTGCAAGGTTTTATTAAAACGGATCTGAGAAGCTTGAAACAATGTTAATTCTACTGTTCTATATACCATTTTGTTTGGAAAATCATGGGCTTCAATATTATACATAAAACATAAGGAACATTTGTTTCAAAAAAATTTTTTAGGTAAAAAAAATATTTTGGAAAATTTTCAAAAAAAAATAAGTTTGCGCTCAATGAAATTGTATAAATTATAGGCCTATAAATATTTGAAAATAGCCACTTTGTTCTAAATTTTATGAGGATTACAAATATATAATAATATAAGGAAGTAGATTTGCAAATAAATAAGTTATGGGCAATAAACAGATTTCAGTACATAGCGTTTAGCTAAGAATGCATAGCCTAACCATAGCTAGGAATCTGGCTGATAATTTACATCAATATCACTACCTACTTCTTCAGGATCATCAAACAGCCCTTCAAAATCACTTAAATCTTCTTATAATGCACCACGTATATCACTACTTTTGATTTTTAACACTAAAACAATGATAAACGTAAGTTAATAAAACACATCAGTCATCGGTCCGAGGGTAATCTAGCTGTTTACAAATACGCACATCAGCTGTCTGCTACAATTACAATTGGCTCAGAGAACATAAAGCGCTTAGAGACAGACCTCTGGAGAAAGCTTAGAATCTGACGAAAAGAACGATACCTAACTCGATCCAGTTCAATCCGATTCAGTCAGTCATAGAGCCTTCGCCGTAAACTATGTTCGTGTGTCGTGAGTCGATTTTTCGACGAGTGACGCTCGGAGGGTTAATATATATGTAGGCCTAGTTTTGTTAGGCTAGGTTAACCTTACCTAACTAACGAAACGATATATCGAATAATCGATATATCGATCGAATCGATCAATCGATCGAAGTATTAGTACTCATTCGTTTGTGCCAACAGATATGGAAGTGTACCCATCAGATTAAAAGCTTCAAAATAAAAAATAGGCTAGCCTAAGTATCCAAAACATCTGTAGACATGAAAGCTTTCTCCATGCGGATTTTTAACAAACTCACAAATGAGCCGCTGTACTCTTTTGAGGAAGTGTCTGGCGAGTACTTCTCGAATATATAATATGCACCGCCATCACTAGTTTTTCTATTTGTAAATATTGGTTGAATAAGAATTGTTATTTTTTTTATTAGTTTTATTACTGTAATTTTATTTGACACAGTCTATCCAACAAGTGTTGGGCAACGACATAGGAGTTGGTAATGGTAATGGTAATGTAGAATGAAGATTCAAGATTCAAAGAGTCTTTATTCACACAGTACAAATTTTCGTACATGAATAGTGTCTATTGTCTATTGTTACTTACTACCTAAATTAGCAATAAGAAACATTTAAACAAAATACTATAGGCTACATTATTTTAAATTGAAATTACTAAAATCTTCTATTTTGTAAGGTGCAAGGTCAAGTAAGAATGCCTTCAGATTTTTCATAAATTTAGATTTGTCTTTTTCTTTTTTTAAAAAGCTAGGAAGTTTTCTAAAAAAATAGTTTCCAATATAAGAAGGTTTATTTTTAAAAAGTTCAAGTCTTGGTTTTTCTTTAGCTAAATAATTTTTACCCCTTGTATTATAATTATGCACAGGCAATTCTTGAGTCTCAGCAATATTTAAAAAATATTTAATTGTTTCAAAAATATATAAGGCGTGAACTGTAAAAATGCCCATCCCTTTAAAATAAGATTTGACGGACTGGTTGTATTTTAATTTATGTATTATCCTGATAGCTTTTTTTTTTATTTTCAAAATCTTTTTTAAATTCTTTTTCTTTGTCCCACCATAAATACTAATTCCATAGTTAATATGTGATTCAATATGAGCATGATATATCATTTTAAGTACTGATCCTTCACAGAGATATGACATTGTTCTTAGGACGAATATACCAGAATTTAGTTTTTTTATTAAATACTCGACATGTTTATTCCAGCTTAAATCCTCATCTATTATCAAACCCAATAGTTTTGAGGTTTTAACTTGAGCAATGGAATTTGTATCTATATCTAACTTAATACTTTGATCATTTTTGTCTCTTTTTGTTTTGAAAAGAATGAAATTAGTTTTACTAGTATTAAGTACTAAATTATGGTCTTTTAAAAACTGATTCAGACTTTTTAATTCTGATTTAGCAGACATTTCTAAATCAGTTAGGGATTTCCCAGTTGTGTTAAGATTAATATCATCTGCATATATACTTATCTTACTACCTGGGTCTTTTAGAGAATTTGGAAGATTTTTAAGGTAACATATGAATAAAAGAGGACCAAGAATCGATCCCTGTGGGACACCAGATGATATCTTTGATAAATTAGATCTTGTTTTTTGGATGATGTTATTTGTTGACAAAGTTGATATTTCCACAAATTGGTAACGTTCCTCTAAGTATGATTTAAACCATTTGAGAGTGACTCCTTTAATTCCCAAATTATCAAGTTTAGCTATTAATTGATGGTGGTCTACATTATCAAATGCCTGGGACATGTCCATGAAGATGCCAGCTGAATTTAAACCCTTATCTAGTGAATTTATCACGGCTTCAACAAAATTAACCGCTGATGTAACTGTCGATCTACCAGCACGGAAACCATGTTGTTCATTATCAATTAGATCATATTGGTTCAAGAAACTGTTCAACCTATTGTACACTGCCTTCTCATATACCTTTGATATTGCCGGGAGAATTGACACTGGCCTGTAGTTTGAAATATCTTTCTTAGAGTTTTTCTTATAAACAGGTACCACTCTAGCAATTTTAAGCTCATTTGGAAAAATTCCTGTTACAAATGATGAGTTAATTAGGTGCATTAAAATTAATTTAATCTCATCTTTCACCTCTTTTAACATTTTTACTGATAAATTGTCATAGCCAGATGTTGTTTTATTTTTTAAAGATTGTATAATAGTTATTATTTCGGTATCAGTTACTGGTTCGAAATACAATTTTGTATGCCATATATTTTTTGAAGAGGTGTCTGATGTAGTATTACAAAATTTTGTATGTAACGTAGAGGATTTTGTAAAAAATGAGTTAAAATTATTTGTTATTTCTTTTGGATTGTTAACTATCTTATTGTTAACTTTTAATGACATATTTTCCTGTTCTTTTTGTTTTTTGCCGTTAAAGACTTCCTTGTTAATAATTGACCATGTTGTTTTTGAAATGTTTGATGAATGTTTAATTTTTTTGTTATAATATTCTTTTTTTGTTTTGAAAAGATCGAATTTAAATTTTCTTTGACGAATTTTAAGCTCTTTGCACTCTTTGTCTTGATTTCTTGCACACTTACTTAGCCTAACAATAGTTTCCCTCTCTTCTCTTAACCTAGTATTCATCCAGCAATTCTTTTTGGAGCCTGTTCTAACAGTAATTTGTGGAAAACACTCATTAAAATAATAAAAAAATTTCTGATGGAACTTAGTGATGACCAAACAAAATAATAAGTAATGGGAGTGATGCATAGTTCAATCCACTTGTGAATGTCATACAGTACAACCTACCTTGTTTATTGTAATGTTGTATATTATTACGGCAATATCTTGAAAAATATCCATCAGCTGTGAAAAATAATGGTATATTTGGATTCAGGAGGTACACTTAAAAAACTATAAAGTAAGATATCAAAATTAAAAATTTGTTTGGAGGCACCTATACGGAATTATTACCATGCCCTAGAATGCTAAATTGTGAAGACACACCCATTCCTAGTAGGCTACCCTAAGGCCAATATAGCCTATTTCCAATAACCAATTTTACAAAAGAAGGCGGTGAGGTTAATTTGTAGTGTGAATAGAAGAACACATTGTAAGCCCCTTTTAGTGGGTCTTAACATTTCCATCTTTGTATGTTTTGGCAAGTTTGTTATATGTAAAAGAAAACATTTCTCACTTTGAAAAGATATCTGATGTGCACAACTACGGTACTGTACTAGATCAAAAGATAATCTGTCTACACTAAGGCATAAGTATACAGCCACTCAAAATAGTTTTGAGTACCAAGGTGTTTAAATGTACAATTTCTTGCCTGCATCCATCAAAAACCTGTGTGTTTTAAAATTCAAACATGTTTTAAAAACTACTCTAACCCAGGCTCGCCTGTATAAACATGAAGAGTACTTTGGTTTAGAGTTTTAGATATTTTAGTTGCCAGAGCCATCTTGATTGTTTTGTTTTTATTTTGACGATTGTCATGAACTTTGTACATAGTTTTAACGACAATAAATCATTTCATTTCAATTAAGACCTTTTTACAAGAATGTAAATTCTAAATTAGGCCTACATGCCTCCAGGCTGTTGGAATATGTTTCCTACGTTGTGTAGGCTGTTAAGCTTAAATTTATTTTTTACAAACTCAAGTTTTGTTATGTTACCAACAATGATTCGAGTATAAATGGTGATCTGTGATTTTAATGGCCCTCATTAGGCCAAGTGTTCTTGTCTTAAATTTAGGATTTATGGTTTTGATTGCATAGGCCTACCTGTAGTAGTTGTTTTATTGGGTGTTGTGTTTAACTTTGAAGTGCTTTCCATGTTCCAAGCTGCAAGTATTTTTACATTAAAGAAAAGTTGAATTTTTAAGCAATTACGCTGTTTAAACACATATTTACGTCGAACAAAACATTCTAAACGGAGAAAGGTTTCCTCTAATTATTTAACACTCCTACTTTCATGTTTTGATACGCACAATCACCAAGATTGACTCTCTCTTGTCTTCACTAAACTTGAGTCTTGACGTCTCTTCTCTTTGACTTGACAGGACGGACAATCAGATCAGATCAGAATCAGATGGACCTTGGTCGTGGTGGATTGGACTAGACTGGACTTGATTGACTGGAACAACTTGAGACAGCTTGAGAGGTGAGGACTGAAGAGGAAAAAACAACAAAGAGTACAAATTTGGGTTAGGGTTCACTTACTCTACGAATCATTGACACAATGAGCCTCCAAATATGTAATTCTTAAAACACATGGCTCACTTACTCTACAAATCATAGTCTATACGAGCTTCGTAAATAATATTGAAGGTTCACTTGCACTACAGGCTCGTATACTATACGAGCCGATCAAAAATATCAAATAAATTAAGAGGGTTCACTTACTCTACAGATCATAGTGCCTATGAGCCAAGCGTATGAATTCTTGAATAATTCAGGAATAAGCTCGTATAGTATACGAGCCAAAATACTGAATTTAAATAAATTACAGGAGTAGGCTCGTATACTATACGAGCCTATTTCATGATAACTATTACACAAATAGAAGATGGCTCACTTACTCTACAGTTCATTGGCACAATGATCTGTAGAGTAAGTGAACCCTCTACAAATATTATAAGGCTCACTTACTCTACAGTTCATTTAGCTACTCGTCGCGCGGTTTGCAGCGCATCGTTGCAGGCGTGTATGGTAAACCAATACCGCAGTTCTGCCGTTCTGCCTTACTTCTGCCGTTTACTAGTCTTGCAGCGTGAAAGAGAGCTTGTTATGTTAATGCATTGTTGAATTTTTAACTTGTGTACTCGTTGCTAGAAATCAAGCAATTATCAAGTACCGGTATTACAGGAGCTATTTTAAGAGTTATTACAGACTTAATTTTCAATTAATTAAAAAGACTCACGTAAAAGCTTATGCAACTAATGGAATTACTTACTGTGTTATGAACATTTCTATATAATTAAAGTTGTAAATATTTTAAAATTGTTTAGAAGATTGCCTTTTTAGTGTTTTCTACAAACGTGTCTCAACTTATACACATAGACTGGTGGAGTGGTAATTTATATTTCTAATCATTTAACTTTAAATTATGAACGCTTTCAGTCACGTGAAGTTGAATTAATTAAACTGACATTAGTTTTTACCATAAATGATAAACCTTTTGAAATTGACTTAATAGCTTTGTATAGAAACTATAAATATGATTTTTATTTTTTCCGCAATGATTTGCAACGTATTTTGAGTAATTGTAAAAACACAGCTATTATGTTAGGAGATATAAATTTATGCATTTTAGAACAAAATAACAGTGTTATTGATTATTTAAGTATAATGAACTCATTTGGTTTCGAGTCGTTTATAAATGAGCCAACTTGGGGGAGAGAAAATTGGGTAAAGTGTTTAGACCATGTATTCATCAGAAGTAAGACTAATTTAATTTTTCATAGTAATTTAGAAAACTATGACTTTACTGATCATGCTGGAGTTAATGTAAATTGCGTAACAAGTTGTGATAGTGCTTTGAAAGAGGAGTTAAGGCTGTAGATCATTCAATTTTAAAAAGAAGGTTGGCTGAAGTGAGCTGGATGCCAGTGTTTGATTGTGAGGATGTTGATAAATCTCTAACAGTTTTTTACGATATTTATAATAAATGTATTGAGCAATCAAGTTTTTTAAGGCCTATTAACAGTAAAAATAGGCATCGAACTCCATGGATATCGGACACACTAATTAAAAAGATAAATGAAAAAAACAGACTTCACTCTCGATTGAAAAAGCACTATGACATACATTTGTTTAATAGATATAAAGAACTCTCTAGAGAATGTTCTAATTTGAAAAGACGGGAAAAAATTAATTATTACTCATCTAAAATTGAAGCAGTAAAGGGCTGCATCAAAGTCTTATTGGAATATATTCAAATCTATTATGAGAAAGTCAAAAAATGAACTAACATCTATTAATATAGAAAATAAAATTGTACAGGTTGAGGGTAATGAAAAAATAGTTGTTGACTCATTCAATAACTATTTTACTGGTATGCCGGATAAGCTGATTAGAGAATTGTATGGGCCGGGATTCCCCGCCATGCCGGATATCGGTCTAGCGTGCAGCTCAAGGTTACGTTTATCTGAAATTACTGAGGTAGAATTAGAAAGTTTAATCTTAAGCAAACCAAATAAACAGTCTGTTGGCTTTGATGGTATTTCCATAAATACTATAAAAGAAAATGTTAAGATTTTTGTCCCAATATTACGTCACATTTTTAATTTATGTATAAAGCTAGGTTACTTTCCTTCTAGTCTAAAAACAGCACTCATTGTTCCAGTATATAAGGCAGCTGATCCATTGCAAATGAATAATTACCGACCGATTTCACTTTTAAATACCTTTGCTAAGCTGTTAGAAACTTGTGTGAAAAGCCAATTAGTTAAATATTTTTCAGATAACAATTTATTTTCAAATAATCAATTTGGGTTCATGAAAGGTAAAAATACTGACCTAGCAGTTGAAAGACATATAAGCGAGATAGTTAATCATGTTGATGAGCGTAAACCAACAATAGGAGTTTATCTTGACTTTACTAAGGCATTTCACTTAGTTAATCAAGACATATTATTACATAAACTAAAGTTATATGGAATTCAGGGAAATAGTTTTAAGTGGTTTGAGACTTTTTTAAATGAAAGAAAACGGATGGTTAAAATAAAAAACGTTTACTCAGATGTATGTTCTCAAAGGCTTGGCGTCCCTTAAGGGGGAGTGCTTGGACCAATTTTATTCACAATTTATATTAATGACATGTTATCAATGGATTTAAAATCGAAGATATATGCTTTTGCTGATGATACATCTTTAGTATGCAGTGCTAACAATTATGATTTACTGAGGATGAAAATTAATAATGATTTGGACGTAATATCAAATTGGGTGATAAGAAACAAATTAATCGTCAATACTTCTAAATCTAATGCAATGATATTTACTTACAAACCTCATTTGACAGAGTCGTTGAAAGAAGAGATCGATCTACGTTGTCATTTAGTTACTTGTTTTCGTGATTGTTGCTGTACAAAAATTAATTTTGTTGATTCGGTCAAGTATCTTGGCCTTCATATAGATTCAGATTTAAAATGGCATACACATGTTAATCAACTATGTAAAAAACGTAGAAAAATTAACTATAATTTCTTTCATTTGAGACAGTTTATTACTCCTAAACTTCTTAGAACGCTATATTTATCCTGGTTTGAATCTACTCTTAAGTATGGTTTAATTCATTGGGGAGGGACGTTTTCAACAATACTTAAACCAATTGTAATAATGCAAAAACTTACATTAAAAACTATTTGTGGTGTAAAGAAATTTGACTCAGCTGCACCACTGTTTCAGTACTTAGACGTAATGCAGCTAGAGAAGATATATTTATATTCAAATAGCTGTAACCCGCGGGCTTTGTCCCGTTTAACTTCTTAATTTTCAAGATTATCTCGTTCGCATGGCTCAATCACGTCCTGGTTGAAGTTTGTTCGCTACGCTCACTCACCTTTAGGTTGGAATCTCGTTCGCTGCACTAACTTGCCTTCAGGTTAGCTCGTTCGCTACGCTAACTCGCCTCCAGGTTGAAGTTCGTTCGCTACTCTCACTCACCTTTTGGTTGCAAAATTAGCTGTTGTCATGAATGTAAAAGAAATAATAGTGCTGCACCCTGTTGGTAATCCTTGTAACTTTAATGCCATTGAACATCATAGAACAGAACCAACTTGTTAAAATTGAAACAGCTGTTAAGATTCAATAATTCCATTTCTCATAAGGTTATCATGGGAAACTCCAGAGCCACTGGGGCGGAGCCCGAAAGGATTTTTGAAATAAGAATATGCCTATATGTTAATCGGGAATGTGAGCTATCATCATGCCAAATTTCAGCCCAATCCGATCAGTATTTTTCGCGTTCACTTGTCACAAACATCCAAACTTTCTCATTTATAATATTAGCATAGATAAAACATACGTTGGTTAGTCTATGATATTAGTAGGAAGTAGGATTTTATGTTATTACTAGCTGTAACCCGCGGGCTTTGCCCCGTTTAACTTCTTAATTTTCAAGATTATCTCGTTCGCATGGCTCAATCACGTCCTGGTTGAAGTTTGTTCGCTACGCTCACTCACCTTTAGGTTGGAGCTCGTTCGCTACGCTCACTCACCTTTAGGTTTTGAGCTCGTTCGCTACGCTCACTCACCTTTAGGTTGGAGCTCGTTCGCTACGCTCACTCACCTTTAGGTTGGAGCTCGTTCGCTGCGCTCACTTGCCTTCAGGTTAGCTCGTTCGCTACGCTAACTCGCCTCCAGGTTGAAGTTCGTTCGCTACGCTCACTCACCTTTTGGTTGCAAATTAGCTGTTGTCATAAATGTAAAATAAATAATAGTGCTGCACCCTGTTGGTAATTTTTGTAACTTTAATGCTATTGAACATCACAGAACAGAACCAACTTGTTTAATTGAAACAGCTGTTAAGATTCAATAATTTCATTTCTCATAAGGTTAACATGGGAAACTCCAGAGCCACTGGGGCGGAGCCCGAAAGGATTTTTGAAATAAGAATATGCCTATATGTTAATCGGGAATGTGAGCTATCATCATGCCAAATTTCAGCCCAATCCGACCAGTATTTTTCGCGTTCACTTGTCACAAACATACATCCATACATCCAAACTTTCTCATTTATAATATTAGTAGGATAAAAAGTTTACTAGTTTATTTCAAACAGTTGTTATTAATAGGAGTACGAGAAACTATACTGAGGGTATGCTTATGATACCACCTGTTATGAAAGACACAAGCAGGTTACAGTGTTACCATAAAGTAGTAAAATGTTTTAACTTTAATTTTAGAGTACTCAAAAATATGCAGGATATGAAAATTGAATTATATAAAAATAAATTAAAGGAATTGATAAAGAATAACTCAATCAAACAAAGTGATATAAT